GAGGAAGTGCTCTACCATAGATCTAAATGAAGGAGCTCTCCCTGGAGGAATTACTAACAATATGTTTTTCCTGCTTGGACATATAAGTAATAATCAAGTCTCTGATGCTTCCATTGCTGGTTTCACTGCTTGCCAAAAAAAGGGGTATCCCATTCCTCTTGATAGCACGCTTAAGATAGCAGCACAAAACATCTCTTTGCTCTAAACAAAACAACCCCCCCCAAAAAAAACACTGTCATAATTGTTGTTTAAGGTTTGACAGTGATGTTTCACAAAGCAACGAGGATACTGTAAATCTTCTTAAAGAGATTTGATGGTGTGTCACACTGAGTTCCTCTTGGCTTTGATCTTATTACTCTGATGGTTTCTGGGCAGAGAAGCAAGCTTAAGCTTTTAAAGCGATTGCCTTTTGAGAAAACCATTTCAGAGCAGTCTGACATGAGCACTTTTTATACTTCTAACTGGGATTAAATACAAAGTATGAGACATTATCCAAACATATTTGTCTTCTAATCAAATTCATGTTCAGTATGATTTAAAGTGTGTTGTCATTAAATAATAGAGACATTTTTGCATGTTTGATCTAAGAAAAGATTTGTAAACACCACATGTTGAAGCTAGGCTGTATGCAGGAGCCAGGATTTTAGATACGGGCTAAAAATGTAAACATGTCGAGGCTACAGTAGTGATCAGCTCGGGCTGCTTGTATTTTTTGTTGAAGGTGAGATTTCTGATAGGGAGAACAACATTAAGGAACTTGAAGAGAGACTCTATAATAATCTCCTTTGCGGCATCACAGTATCTAAGCCACGTCCACTACAAAACCTCTGCTCAAAACGATCAGCACTCTTTATCAAAGTGAAGGGAAGAATGGAAACACAACGCTTGCACGCAGTAGCCTCCTATTCAGCAAAAACACAAAATAGAAGTAACCTGGGTGTTAATAGTTCTGTAAGTACACGTGCAGCCTGCATCCACTCTCACAAAGTTTTAGTTTTATTTTGAAATATAACTAAAGCATCCTGTCCTCAATGGCAGCTCAATGGCCGTGGCACCTATGTATACATAGAGATCCTTAAGGTTCTTTTTGTATTGTGGCCGTTAAGTGCAAAGCTCAACGGCAAATCTTAAAACACAACAGCAGTGTATCATGTTAAGTCAAGCACAGACACAGGAAAACCAGGAATTCTGACCAAAATGGCACCAGGCTGAGTCGATTCAGTTTTTGGTGTTTCTTAATAATTAAACAAAAGGTGAACTGGCTTATGTGGTCTGCGGTTAAGAGGACAGACCAAATAAAAACGCTGACTTAAATATACAAGAGAGATGTCAGGATAATGAGAGACAGGTGAAACTCATTAGAGCGGAGCAGACCATCAAACAAGCAGGAAAACACGGGCAGGGCAGGATGTTTAGTGATCAGAAATGAGAGGAGAGGCAAATGAAGTAAAACAGCAAACAGAACGAAAGAATAAAAGAAAAAACAAGACCTAATACAGAGAACAGGGGTGTGTTCAGCGGCGACAAAACGTAGCAAAATGTTGGAACCATTGGAAACAGTGGTGCCTCGAACACCCTGTTGTTTTGCATTTCCCTGCCTTTTTAACACAGTTGTGTTTCCAAAGTTGTTGCAGCTGATTGGGTAACACCTGTGACACGCCAACCAAATGGGATAAAACATACCTCGAAGCCCGTTGCGGAATGTTGCACAACGTTGCAAGGAATCATGTCATTCAATCTGAAAACGCTGCAATATATGTAGTGTATGCAGCAAAACCTCAGGACCATCGTATTTTTATCTGTTCAAGTGAGGTTGCTATCATTTTTTTAATGCTAACTGCTCACTTACATAACCATATCTCTTGATTTATTTCAACAACTGAAACTCAAAATTACATCACTTATTGTGTGTCAGAGTTGTCATGGGAAAGAGCTGCATGAAAATGGGAGATAAAACATGGACAAGACCGGAAGATGAGAAAATGGGAGTGGGGATGCCAGAGCGTTTCATTGTCACAGTGGTGCCATTGAACATTCCTGTTCTTCAATGGTCTTCAACTTCACTCCAGTCCTAGTAGTTCACACAGTACTTTCACTCAGTACACACTCTTTCATTACTGAGACATATTATAGCCTATATCAGATGCTTGAATCATCAGAGATTTAAATATCTTTTGTGGCTTTCTGTTATTTTTTCCTCAGGGTCTCACTGCTCAGAGAGATACACGGAGGATAATTATTTCAAATTCAGTCTGTATCATTAAATATGTAAATGAGTAATATAGGAGATTGGGTTCCTGCAGGATCATTAATTCACTCTCTGTACTTGCACAGACACGTGTTCCACGCACACACCTTCCACGTCCGTTCTCTCAAACTCCCGTGCTTCTTCAAAAGCGCTGTTTTTTATGTGTAATTTGTGAAAGGGGCAGCATGTAAATTAAATGCATCAAAATGAAGCTAAAAACAGACATGTGCTTGTGTCTCTAAGTGCATTTCTTCCAAACCTGTGATTTCCCATACAGCCATAAGTGGAAATAGGTCTGTTTCTGAGGAAACTGCAGATCACACTGGCACAGTGTTTCTAATTAAGTGTGATTTTCAACTTCAGGATCAGACTCCAGGAAGAAGAATAAGGGAGGCTATCTCCTGTGGTCTCTGCCCAGTCTGCTCTGTTTTTCATGTGTGCCATACTCCATTTACTGGTTTGACAGAGAAATATGCAGATTTTGACTTTTGCAATCAGATTATTAAAAATGCTTATTAATTCCACAGGAATTTCCTCCCCATTTAATTGCTCAGTTGAATTTATTCAACAGTTGAGAAAAGTGCAGAGTGAATTTGAATGAGCTCCTAAAACCACTTAGAAAGAGTCGAATACAAGGCCACTTGCAGACAGCGGTGAGTTCAGTGTCCAGTTTTGCGCTGTACAAAAACACCTCAGGAGATTTAACTTCACTGACTCAATGACCAGAACTGACATGCCATCTCTCACACGTAACAAAAGGTGTCAGTTTCAGAGGAGCATACAAAAATCTCAGAGGATGTGAAAGGCATGAATACAAAAACATCCCTATTTGCATTCATTAATGGTGTCTGTGACGCCAGTTGAAGTGGTGCGAGAGAAAAAATCTGCAACACGATCTATGATTCTCCCATGGTTCAGAGAGTTTGTACATGTACCTGTCAGACAACAACATAACAACTCGGCAGGGAATCAAATAAACAGATCTGAGACCCAAATCCCCTGATACAGACACACTCCTAAAAGCATTAATTCATTCATAGAAAGTCATGTAACATTCTTCATAAATCCAGAGAAACATTTGGGTTTCAACAAGTGTTGGAACAACATCACTTTCAATTTGCATGTCATTTTCAGTTGCTTAATGAATTTGTCTTTTTTCACCTCTCTTTCCTTTTGTGTTTATTTTCTTCATTACTGTGAAGGCAGAATCAGAAAGACTCCTGTGTGTGTATAAATGAAGTGACACATTAACATTCTTAAAATGAATCAATTTGTCCTTGAAACAAACCAACTGATCTCACCTCACTGGCAAATTCTCTATCACAAAATGTATTGGATTGATTTATTCAATGTAGAAAAGTTCCATGTTGAACAAAAAACCCTCCCCCTAACAGCAACTGTCCAATTATAGCTCAGCAACTTGGCATGGCACATCTGTCAAGCTTTGGATTTCTCCACATTTTGAAATGGTTTATATGGCCATGCTCAAAAACACAAATACAAGAGCAAAAGTGAAGGGAATTAAACAATGTGTTTGTCTTCTCTAATGTCAGCTGCAAACATTAGCATATCTAACTATTAGTACCTAGTGTTAAATCTAAGTCCAGGGGCATTTCATACTACACTGGTTTGTGGGGTTAAAGGTTGTGTTCTCCTACTACACAGCAAGGATGCTAACTTTTTGCCCGGGACATGTAGCTATAGCCTCCGTCTTGTAGCACAATATCATGTATGTAGCCATCAAGTGCTTATTTAAGAGTAGGGTTTCTTGTTTTAAGTCAGCTGGAAACAAAGTAAGATTAAGACAATGTTTTGAATCAACTCATGAAGTTAACATTAGGTTAATTAGCTAGCTAGCTGCAGTTGATAAAATGTGCTAGCCACAGAGGTCATTTCAGCCAACAAATCGCCGGGTGTCAGCTAGAAATGAGAAGTCTGCTTTTGGCTACCTCCATCTGAAAATCAAGGATCCATTGTTACCAGCAACAGAAACTACGAGGCAGAGCTGAATGTATGTATGGAAAGAGAATAATAGAGAATAATGGAATAATATAGGCATATATAATAACAACCAAATTGCAAAGAGAGGGCCTTACACCACATGGTGCTTCAGGAAACATTGCACTCTGCTACTATATCTGCCTTGAAAACCATCTGGGTTTTTCTCTGTGGCCATTTTATAAGCAGAACTGCCATGCGGGGCACAGTATGGCGCAAGCACAGATTCAATTATGAAGTGGGGGTGTTTGGCAGAAAGGTGTGTGTGCCAGGCTCTGTCTGTACGCTGCCTGAAGCTGATAGATGTGGAGACTTCTGGCCTGACAAGTAGTTTGCAACCTGTTTGTAATGTGAGAAAGGCCCATTGTGCTGCAGCGGAAAAACCCTGAGCACTCAGCTGTGTTTACAGCCCAGAGCACAGGACTGCAGACACACCTCTGAGAATCCCTCAACGGCCCCCTGCTCCAGAAAACACAGGGCAGAATCAGATGGAGACAAAGTAACACCATCCCATTTTCCCAGTCATGTACTCTGCGAGGCTGCCTCCCAATTAGCCACACCGCCGCTGCAGAGGCGAGATAACAATAGAAGCCCATGTATCCCCTAAAGACCTCACTAGAGGACCTCGTATTGATATCTCCTACATGTCACCACTGCCCTCACTTGCCTGGCAGCATGCCCGCACATTTTATATGAAGGAAAATCACCAGAGGGGCTGTAAGTCAATACAAGAAGAAAACAGCAGGACACAACATTAGGCTGAATGGTACATACTGTAATTAGTGAGATGCTGTAAGGAATAAATATGAAATATAATACAGCAAGATCAAGCTGCACAGTAAATCAAAAAACCCGATTATTGATGAAAGTACAAAAATGTTTCTGGCAAAACGTCAAGTGACACCCAGTGGAATGAACAAGAATATTCTGAGCTGACATCAAATAAAATAAAAACAACACATAATCAGTGGCAGATAAAATTATTTTAGAAAAAAACAAACAGCAGTTGTAAATATCTCATGTGTCCACTGATATTTTATCCTTCAATATTTCCTACAAGCGTAAGACATAATTTGACTTTTGTGACATGTATTGCAAAGTACAGAGCATCTCGCTCAGCATACTCTGTTTTAAGACAGGGAGGGAGAAAAATCTAAACATTGCATTTTCCACACAAAGAAAATAATAGTGTTCAAGTTAATTCCCATTCTGTAGCACCACAAATTAGTTATATCATGGACAAAATTACATGTAACTGAAGTCCAATCGTACGGAAAACACACAAAAGTGGCAAGCTGACCTAACAAAGAAGCATACATTTTAGTTTATGTGCTAGACTGTTAGCAGGAAAACATGTTTGGATTGTCCACTTGGTCCATGGCCAAAATTCAAACAGGCGGTTGTGGTGAGCGATTACTGATTTTATTCAGCTCCTAGTTTGGTTTCAGGTTGATTTTGTTTTTGTCACTGAAATTTAAGGGCCCTTTCACACCTGAAAGTCCTAACCAAGGTCCGAACCAAAGTTCATATTGTGATACATTCAGTTAGTTTTGGTTTGATTTTACATTGTGATTATACAAGAGCCTTAAAGAACTTTACTTTGCATCCTGACGTCCTCCCTTTGCTTGACATTGATTGGCTTGTAAACGGACGTGTGTCTGATGTGAGCATTTCGTCAATTCGGCGTGTAGCTTTGACAATAATCTTTGGCCTTAACAAGAATGAATGGACATATCGTTGCAACTATTGTTGTTATGGCATTACTACCTGTAATTTAGGTTTGGATCAAACAGAGAAGTCTGAAAGTCCGGACCAAAACAAGGTAGATGTGAAAGGGCCCTATAAGTGAGACTATGTCTTTTGAAAGAAGAAATAAAACATTCTTACTCTTAAAAGCGAAAATTGAAATGGGAAATGCACTAAACCCTTGCTCAATTCAATACACTCAGGGGTTTCGGTGATACAGCTCTATTTTATGGTGGCTAATGGTAGCTAATATTAGCCAACACTTTATAAATATTGCTGTGTGACTGACATTACTGAGCCAGTTCACGGACTCTTACTATATTTAACCATTTTACCATAATTCATTCTTTAACTTTGTGGCCACATGTTGCGGTTGTTCTGCAAAAGTCACACAGTCTCATTTTAAGGCTGATCATTTCAGCAGCTGAAAAAAGCTCAAGAGAGTTTAAAAGTGCAAAAAGTCACATAATTGCACGGCACTAGTAAGACACACCATGAAAACCCTTTTTCAAAAACATCTAAATTGAAGAAATAATCCCTATGTCGGCTTGGTCTCTCCTGGTTAAACTTAGGCTGGCGAGATTTAAGGAACTTGATTAGATATTTTGCATTTATATCAAGACCCTCCATTTGTAGATGGATAAAATGTTACACAGACTTTCTAAGGTTTTGTGCTAGAAACTTTCAGCAGTACCACAGAGGCTTTGCAGTAAATGGATATGGGGTCACTCAGACTGCAAAGCTGAGGTCAGGCTCTCAGAGAGCCAGTCTGTGTGTGAGTGGTCATAAAACACTACAAGCATCCATTTCAAATGCCCCAGCTGTCACTGAAGTACTGGTCCTCTTCTTCCTCCTCTTCCTCTTCTTCCTCCTCAGTCCCATTTTTCATGAGGTCATCATCTTGTAACTCACACACTTCCTCTTCCTCCACTTCCTCCTCTTTCAGCTGTGCGAGCATGGTTTGTAAAGTGGCTTTTACTTCCTGAACCTCCTTTTCTAATGACTGTGCAGTGTGAGTTAAGGAAGGATCTGATGCTACAGACACAAACGGGGAGAGTCACACATTAACATGTAAACAAAAGAGCAAGCCAGCACACAAATATCAGGGAAAATGTGACACCCGTGGCCCTTGACCGTTAATGGTGATAGCAGAGGACAGCCATAACCAGATGAAGTCATCAATCTCCAATTTTGGCCATCGAACGGATTACTGGGACAGATCATCAAGTCATACCCAATTTAACCCAATCCAATTCACTATTCATGAGCTCATCTCGTCTGTGAATCTGGGTGGCAGTGCGGGGAGCAAACAGACTGCCCAGCTAAATTATTCATAAACCATCAATGAAACGGGATAGAGGGTCATCAGTGGGTGGGATTGTTTAACCTGCGTAGAAACTCAAATTAATCGTGTGAGTGTCCAGTTTAAGTGGCAAATCAAAGGGACGGCTTTGATGGCAGATGGGGCCTGATGGCTCGTTTTACTGTCTGAATGGACACAGATTGTCCTCATTCATAATTAACCAGCCATTAAAGAGCTTTTCATGAATACTGCAGAAGGTTCGACGAGACTTCTAAGGCAACGTGGTCCAAATGGGACGACGGAGTTCGGAATTATGTTCAAGACCTTTAAATCTAACCACTCAGATCGACATCATTTCGCCTGTTTTTTTTTTTTCCCAGTTCCAGTCTCTGTGGTTGTCCATGCACCTCCTTGTATTGAGAGCAGGGACTCAATTAAGACCCTTAGAGACTGGAGATTTGAGCTTCCCGTCACTATGGCAACAGGAGCATCATCCCAACTTCAGCTTCTGTTCAATTTCTGTAACTAAACAACAATATTGTCATGTATCTTCAGCGTCCTCGGAGTCCACAGCACTTTTGCTTGAGTGCATGGACTTCAAAAGGCTGAGATGAATGACATGCAAGGACACAAATACAGAGAGATGGAGAGAAGCGGGCCAATCTGTGTCTCTCTCCGACTGCCAGGCCGCATTGAAATCATGCAAATAGTGGGAGAGCCTGTACTGACCCCTGGTAGCACAGCGGGGGACGTGAATCTCTAATCAGTTGGGAAAAAAGTCCGGCCACACAACAGAGAGAGTGAAGGACATACTGTATAACACATGGCTTTTAGATCCAAAACCTAAATAGACATCTTCAATCAGATTAGGTTAAGTAAGTAAGATAAGTATTCCTGGCAGCCTGTGTTCAAAGAAGATAAATGAGGTGCAACACTAAATTGATTGAAAAAAAAAACAGCAGGTCAGGTGGCAAATTTTCTTCATCCCCGTGTTGAAATATTGCCTTTTCTATCTGTCTTAATAAGCCCACAGCGTGGAGGGGAAAAGTGGAACGAGAAAAACACACCAATCTATTTCCAATCAGCTTTCTAATTAGCGCGGAAAATGATGTATTGTGACCTGTAATCAGCTTCAACACTTTCATTTGAGTCATTTTCATGGATATTGTAATTTCCTCCGAGCCAGACCCAGCAAGTGGAAGTGGGCAGGCGGAGGAGGGGCGAGGAGAGGAAGGGAGGGTCAGCAGGAGGATGGACATTAAGATATGACGGGAGCAGAGTCATTACAGTGACATTCCCTTTATCTGACGTGGAGCTGGCCCTATCGGGCCGACTTTAATCTCAGCTCGTGGTGACTGGCAGGCCACATCAAGGACCCTCTAATAACCTCGCTTGGACTTTTACCATTTCATTTTCAGTCGGCACGTCCAGCCTGTCAAGAAAAATCCTCTGATCCCAGTTTATCTTCAATTCCCTCCCTGAATGGACCCATAATGTCAAATAAGACAGGTTGATTTTTTTTTTCCCTCGAAAGGTAAAGTCACAGAAAGCAAACATCAGTCAGCCTAAGGATAGTTTGGATGTGTACTTTTGAGAGTTGTAAGGCCTCGAGGAAACTAGGTCCTTAAGATGGATGGACACAGACAGAACCACACACACACAGATAGTATACAGTTTATTTGATATATGTATATTTAGAGAGCAGTGAAAGGATATGGGTGAGGGCTGGATCCCGGTTCAGTATGGCCATCTGCAATTCATCTTCCAAGGTCATTAGTCTGTCACTGATCAGCTCGCAGCGCTCTGTCAGGTCTGCAGCCTCAGCCTCGCTGCACCCGTCCTGGCAGAAAAAGGAAACAAGGGATGAAATGATGGGTGAAGAAAGGAAGGGAGGATCGACAATTGAAGCTGCAGTGGTTCAAATTTATGTCTGATATTGAAAATGAATGAACACAAAAAGTCTGTCTGACAGTAGCAACAAACAACCCAGCAGGCTATAAAGAAAATTTGGTACTGTTATAACAAGAAAGCTGTTAAGTGTTTGAGTCATCAGTAATCAAGTGTTACCACAAACACCTCCAATATAACTTATTTTTTTAAAAAATGGTCACGCTGTTTGTTAGTGCCACAAAGTAAGAAGAAGGTACACTCTTTGTGACTAACAGCATGGCTATACTTTAGTACAGTACTTAAAAGGGTAAACCAACAAACTTTTGTTATATTTTTCACAGAACCTCTAAAACAAGTGTAATGATACATTATTATAAAGTATCTTGTGATTCAATATGCAGTTCATTAATCACCATAACTACACAGAAAACAATCCATGCAGTTAAATATTTTATTACAACCCTTGTCTTGTAGTGTCTCATAGGACAATAATCAAAACCATAACTCACTCGTGCTTATAATAAACAGTGCTGCAAAGTTAACGCCAGTTCAACAACACCTGTAACACTGTTGTGTCATCTGCTGTGTTTAATCTGATATTATATATTTATTTATTTTATTTATTTATTTACCAGTAAAGTAGGTACTGTAGACTGATGACATTGATGATTAAGATACAGAGGCCTACTTTAGTGGCAAAGATTTGTTTTATGATTTAATACTAATGCCTCTATGTGACCTACATAAGCAAATAAGACCATCAGCTAGTAGACTGGTTTTCAACTGGGTCAGATTCACCACAAAATCACACAAAACAAATTACGGCGTGCACCACACATACCAGAAGAGCCTATGTTTACATTTTCCCAGGCAAAGTTTCGCAGTTATTAGTAGGTTAGCCCAGTGTTTCCCAACCCTCTCCTGGAGGCACACTAGTCCTGCATGTTTTAGATCTCTCCCTGCTCCCACACAGCTGATTCAAATGATCATCTCGTTATGAACTGCTAAAGCTGTTAAATCAGCTGTGTGGGAGCAGGGACAGACCTAAAACATGCAGGACTAGTGTGCCTCCAGGAGAGGGTTGGGAAACACTGGGTTAGCCAGCTATTTTTGATGTTATATTTTATGTTTATGGATGATAGTGGGGCAGGATCAGCACAGAGAAAAAGCTAAACAGGGGCGGTGATAGAGCAAAGGTGAAAACATGAGTCAACCTCGGTCATTCAACAGATGGAGAGAAGTGACGGATTTGAAAGGGGGGGGTATCAGGTTGGTGGAGGAGCAGAGTGCAGTAGGGCAGAGCATTCAGGGACAGTGCCGGCCATAATTAGAACAGGCCCCTTTGCAGACATGGTGTCCTAGTTTCTTCACACTTAACAAGCACAGAGAACACAAACACACGCTCCAGAGTACACAGACGCACTTTGGGCAAATAGACTCACACACCTGCACGCAGACCCAGTGTTCTCGTCGAACAACACATAGAAAGCAACCTAACCTGACTCATAGCTGCAGGTAGGAAATATTAACTCCCTGCAGCTCAGAGGTGTCAGAACAATCACTGGAAAGTCATGTCTCTGGTCTCCGTCCTGGAATAGCGCTCCTTCTCCGGATGATGTAACACCCCAAAACAATTGTACTACAGGCCCGAGGCGCGACAATATGTACAAGCCATCCCTGATGCAATTAAGATATAAAGTAAGACTTAAAGGCACAACAGGCCACAGGACAAATAATTTAAAGTATTTGGATGGTTGTGTATTTGTGTGTGAGGCACTTGATTGAATGAAAAAACAATAACTAACACAGGTCCGTCCTCAGGTGTCACCTTAGGAGATGCAGGGATCACTGTCCTCCTATACCAAGACGGAAGACAGTCAACTTATTCACTGTGCTGTTTGTTTGTCAAAGTTAGGAGCTTCTTTAGCAGATAAAAGCCCAGTGTTTGTGTAGCTGATTGATTCTATACTTTCCAGCCTCCAGTCAGCATTTGTAAAATCAATCCAACCACAGGATAGAAAACAAAAGCTCACTTCGCCGAATGGCACTGTTGAAAGCTTCCCAAACAGTTTCTTAGCATCTTTGTACACAAACCTTAAAAAAAAAGAAAGAAAAGCTGTTACAACCGTTCAAAATCTGTTATTTCGCTCCTGAGGTGGTGATCAAAACAATACAAATTACTTTCTCTGCTGCCACTGCCTTTGACAAACAAGAAACATGGGAAATGAGATTTCAACAACATGTCAATTTGCATGATAGAATCCCAGGTATACATGTATTTGCGTATTGACTCTTGATGCAAAAATAGTGCTGATATTATTAGACCAAAAGTAAACAAAGCAGACTGCAGAAGCATGAACTTGAGCCAATTATTTGTAAATTCAATATTCAGACTCATGTATGCACTGGTATGGTTATTTAACCAATAATGAGTGAGAGGCAGCAGGTAATTGTGCATGTTCCCATGGGTGCTGTTAGGACCGACACTTTGTACTGGGCAGGCAATAGAAAGCAATAATAACGCACTGTTATAACACTCAAGGCAATAATTGCTTTTACAAACAATAAAGTAGCTGAATTCATTTCAAACTCAAAAGGAAATCAACTAGCTTATGATTAACTAGTGTCTTTGTTATCACTGATGCTTTGTTAGTAAGTAACTGAGAACACACTTAGAAATACTATGCATTTCCCAGACCATCTACGAGATCATCTACAAACATACAGTGACAGTTTAAGGTGTTAGTCTCTAGCTGTGTCCCAGTTCCATACTGCACACTGCAGGTTTGGAGTATGCAGGGTTTTCACATTGGAAAAGTGACAAAAATAAGTTTACTCCAAAAAAGAAAGTATGAAGACTAAAAAACAAATCTTTTTTTTGTTTTTCCAAGATCTTTCTTAAGTCGGACCGCCATCTGCAATTGTTTTTTGAGTTGTGTTCCAATTCCATACTACATTAGATTTATTCATTTAGCTTTTATCCAAAGCGACTTACAATTGCTATACATGTCAGAGGTCGCTCAATTACCTCCATAATTGTCCACAATTTTGGAAAAATATCTCACTTTCTTTTTGTGACGTTTGATTGGCAGTGATATTGCCAAGTTGCAGTTTGACAGCACATGTACTTCTTCTAATACCTGTTAGTACAAAATGCTAAAGTGAGTGAAAAGGACCAGGTTAAGTAAATCCGATAGTTTGGTAATTGGTAGTACGCCCATGTTAGTGAGTCTCTTGTAACTGCAGTGTCACAGTATAATGTTATCACTGGTATAGTAGCGACTGTACATAGTTTGTATGCAGTAAGGATTCAGGACACTGCAATCATCTCTTGTCAACAGTTTAAACAGGGCTTGTGTGAATGTCATGGTATTATCCCAAAAAACTACCTGATTAAAAAGCGAATCAAAAGCCATCAACATTTCAGTTTAATAATGTCTCTATTCCTGTTTGGTACTGTAGTTCAGAATGAAGAGGGGAATCTAAGGACCTTGAGAGGATAAAAGAACAATTAGTGGAGATTAGAAGAAAAAAAGGTAGTGCTAAAACACACACTTGCACACACACCAATCAATCTCCACTGTGGCAGCAGGGCAGCCGCTTGGCAGCAGCTAAGTGGAAATCATTTACTTAAAGTCATTATGGAAAGGAGAAAGAGGTCAGATGCTCTGCGAGGCAGAGAATCCAACTCCTCCACAGCGCGAACATCACCAAGACAAAGATACCAATACCACTTAACAGCCATCATATCACTTGACTCAGTGATACATCATACTTTATTGTGATTGTATCACTGTAAAATTCCTCAAAGTTGCCTAGTACAGAAATCATGTCACTGTCCTCTACACCTTGTGCATGAGCATAAACTGGCCGTTCCAACCTTAGAAAGCCTACTGTTAAGCCTGTCAAGCTTTCTGTTCTTGCACAGCACATTATAAAAACTTTACAAACGCTGGCACATTTACAATTAAAATACCAGGTCATATTTGAAACAACTTCTCATTTCTAGCTTTAGAATTTGACAGCAAAATGACAACTGTTGCAAGCAAATGTTAATTACAACTAATCAAGCAAACTAGCTCTGTGAGTTGAGTTTAAATGTTGACATCGTCTTATCCTAGTGCCCTCCGGGTGCAGGTACAAGACTGAAGTGCGAGAGGGATCACACCGGGAGCAGCCTAATCCCCGCAGTCATAGCCACCTTAAATAATAGGCCTCGCTGAACTGGCAATGGGTGTTGTCTGTCACTATGCTGTAACCGTCTGCTATTGTTGTCTGATGTGTACAGTGCTGTGAAAAGGAATTTCCCCTTAGGGACAGTAAAGTCTCTGGCTGAGTTTTCAATATTTTCAGTTGACTCGTTTTAAAACAAGAGTACTGTAAAGGGTCTCAAATATGCACTTGTGATACCGTGCTAAAAGAGTAAGGTAAATGCTACATGTCCCCGGCAAAAAGTTAGCTTCCTCACCGGTTGTTGATTTATGTAGGCGACACAGAAATAAATACTTTTTATCTTATTGTATTGCCCTAGCTAGTTAGTCCTAGTTGATAAGGAAATATGTACGATCACACCTGTGTGTTTCATTCCGTTTGGCTACAACTTACAAGCAAGACATAGATTAAACTTATGCTTCATTGTTTGTATTTTCAAGCAGTATGGTTAAATTTTTAACGTTACAACAGAAAAATCTTTGAGGGTGAGCACTAAACCATGAGCTTGACAAATGTAACGCTATCTTGCATAATGCTTATTCTTGTGTAGCGGGAGTGGCCATATCCAGACATGCAAACGTTTGCAGCTTAGCTTTTACAAAGGCACCACTTTCCAAACTCTATAAGCAGTACTGCTTTTACTACAGCCTAATGCACATAGCTTCAACATGTGGAGCGGTCTCAGATATGATTCATGCTGCAATAATTCTGTTCAAATATTGACAAATTTTTAAGTGCTAAATAACAACCTGTTGGAGCATTACATGGGACACTCCCCGTAACAAGTTCAAGTGCCCTTTTAACGTTTGGCTACCAGGTCTGTAAGAGTATAAATGAATGAATGAATTTAAAGCAGGGAGGTGCTGAAAGGAGAACACATGCTCAGCAAAACCCTCCACTGTATAAATCAAGGTCTGCTAAAAAGGCATCGACAGGCAGCCAGCCACACCAACAGAGGCTTCTCATGTAGATCAGTATTGATCAGACAGACAGATAGGTGACAGAGGTCATGTTTAAGTTAAGGTCAACTAATTGATTCTTCTTTGTCCATTTAAGGCAAGCATAAATAAAACACTTTAATTACACTGATAACATTCAACCATACAGTGACAGTGTTAGCATTACCAACCTCTGGGTGATTGTCCTCCATACAGAACAAAAACTCCTCCAGCTTCTGCAACAAAAGGGAAGCATTTGTTGAGGCCACACAGTCATAAGCTTGCTCATGAATTATTGAAAATGCAATTATGTTGGCTGTGTACTGTATGTGTGCAGCATCATCATAATGAGAAGAGGTTGTAATTATTCATCACCAAAACTGACAAGGGGAAAATAGATTAACTGCCTCATCTGTACTGCAGGTTTCCTTTGTTAGTATTCCAAGTGTGTAATTGTACATTCTTCACTAAGGAAGGCGGTAATTACTGTACCTATTGGAGGCTAACATATTGTTTGTGGCTTTAGGGTAAGTACATAATAAGGCACAGTAACAACAAATAATAATGAGCAAAGTTTTAATTATTATTTTTTTAAATTAAAAATGGGGTAACGTGTAACAGCTTCAACACTTCGCTCTCCGGTAAACAACAGGTGCAGTTGACCATCTATAACCCTTCATACGATATCTGTATCAGATCGTTTAAACATTACAATTTTTAAGACTTCACACAAACTGGATAGCTTTTGTTCTCATCCATCTCACAGCAACATATAATTTGTCACATGCTGTTTCCAAGGAACAGATTGCAAAGGCGGGTATAAACTGGATAACATACTCTTCTATTGTCTGTTGCCTTGAGATGAAAACTCTCATATCTACCAAATTAGTGTCCAGATATATGTTTGTTTCACCCAAGAATAGGCCAGAGTTGCAGGACAAAACATTTTCAATGAATGTGCTGCTATCTATCTCTTGTCTTGAGAAGATGTTCCAAGGTGCTTATTCTTATGAAAAAACATGTTAGCTGGTTAGACAGGGCAATGTGCTGTCATTCATGTTAAATGTTATTAAAGGGACACTTAACAGTACAAAGGTGTTTTTGCGTCTCTGTCCATGAATTTTGTGCATTCTTTTAATTGTATTTTGTCCAAACAAATCAAAGCAAAAATTGTGACTCATTTCCAAAGAAAATGTCTTTCATTGCTCTGAATGGATGTTATAAAATATTCAAGGATTTGGACTAATATCTAAAACTTTTAAAATGTATTGCAGCCTAGGGTGAATTCAGAGGACATTTTGCTACATTGAGCTCCAGTTGTTTCTATCTTAGAGGACACAGAAAATAGAGCGCACAGGACACAAAAAGAGAGAAATTGGTTGGCTGTCTCACCTTTTAGTTCTTGGAGAAATGTTAGGAGGGGCCAGGCTTTAGGAGGAGAAAGAATAGCAGAGAGAAACAAAGGGAAAGCAGAAAATAGATCCATGCAGTTTGTAAAATGCGGTCAGGCAGGGCAGGGAAAGAAGACATCAATGCGAGTGTATATTTATGAAAATGTGAGACAAGGTAAAGAGGGTAAACAGTAGGAGAATTAAACATAATAATGAAAATCCACAGCTTCCAGTTTTAATTCATGCCAGTGGAAATTCTACCAACATCAGCAAAAATGGACAAATATGCACTTATGGCCACAGTCCAGTAAATTCATACTGAAAGTAAATTGAAAATATATTATCAAGAATGTTGAAAAACAGCAAATGTTATGTTAAATCACAATCTGTGAGCCATACTAACAAAATATAGTCTCTCAAAAACATGTCTGGCAAGTGTGCAATTTTATTTTTATTAATGCTGGCTGTGTTGGCTTTGTTCCTATCTCAGACTACGTGGGTGGAGGAAAGTGTGAGGAGAGGAGAGAATGAGTTGGACTATGCCCTGAGGCAGTGGACCTCAACTCGCTGTGAGATAGACCAGCACAGAGCGCTCACATAAACACACACACATGCATTCTCAATAAATGCATGTAACCATGCATAAAGAGACTCTTAAATCTGGACTCCGAAGAATGAAGCTCTTCAAGGAAGCCAAAATATTTCCAAATGTTTGCCTCCATCATGCCTACATTTAGAAATACCTTTGAGCAAACGTGTTAATAGACTGCTGCTCATCTAAATGTAGTCAACAGACTTTTATATTCTGACAACAGCGGTATGTACAAACTGAAAATGTCCCCTCCAGTAAAGTGGTAAGACTGACTGAGCAGGACTACTTTATTTGAGGTCATGCTTCACACCACAGTGACATAAAGAAAACAAGAAAAGTGAATATGAAAAAGTGGCAAAAATTTGTTGCGTGGAAAGGTCATCTTTTACATTCAAGATACTAAAAATCTCAGCATATCAATCCGTCATGCACGAATCCACAGGCATTTAGATGAAAAACACACTGTGTGTTGTTAGCAAGACATTGCTGCGTTACCTTAGTGAACTCTGAGTGCTGCAAGTTTGCCTCGGGACACCAGCGCCCTCCTAAAGCAGTCAGCATTGCGCAGTCTTCTTCGTCTTTGGTACACGGCTGGGTAGGCAAATAAACCGCTGCAGTGGGGAGGTCCTCGATGTCTACTCCACTGCAGCTTGGAGTCCGCAGCTGGAGGCCTCGCAAGAACAGGTTACATGCTTCCAGGTCGGCTTCCCAGATCCGCTCCAAGCCTGGACAGCCACAGCTACAGAGAGGAACAGACCAGTATGTTATACAGTACTAAAAAACACTGTACGATGCAATCCAAGATGTGATAAGATACACTGATCTGATATACAACATGGTATAGCATAATGATATATAATAGCATACACATTAGTAACATCATGCTGTAGGATACAACAGTGTCATGCAATATGGTACAATGTGGAACAATATTATATTTGCTTTCTTGCGGAGAGTTAGATGAGAAGATCAATACCACTCACACTGAATTCACATTTATAAGGCTGCAAGATGCTGAACAGATAGTTTGTTGTAAAGTAACCTGATTTCAGTACAATGGCACATTCAAAAATTATTTTAAAATACATCGAGGTGCAGTATGACCTCATGACTGTGAATTGCTGCATGGTAACTGAGCACAGTACTTGTACACGCACAGTAAAGGACATCTTTAATAGCATCTCTGTAATAAAGCACTGACAAAGGAGCGATAGGGGAGAAATGAATCATTCAAAGATTGTAATTCCATTGACAAAATGTAATGAGAGTGAACGTCCTCCTGGTGGGCTGACCTTTTCTTCAAAGAGCTGCAGCGAAGAGAGAAAACAGAGCCCGGATGGGTTCATCTTTGCCGGGGTCATTGAGCAGGAGTTCGGCGGGAGGACAAGAAGATTGCTTTTTGTTTATCTACTCACTGAGTTACAATCAGTCATCCTTTTTCACTCTCCCTCATCCTCACCCTGACCTGTGTGATACCCCAGTTGTAAGCTCCCAGTGTAAAAACAGAACAGAACAATTAAAGCAGCTACATCTGATTGAATATATTATTCAAAAAATTAGCAATATGGTCACTGACCAGTGGAGTCCTCTCTTCAATTATTTAGTTTAAGGTGGTCACTGTGTGAAAGGAAATATGTGTGTTTTCCAGTAACACCAAACACTTTTGGTATCCCCACATAGTATCCGCATAATGGACTATACAGTCTATGGATGAGGGTACTGATTTTGAATTATAAGCAGGTTGTTTTGGCTTTAATTTTCTTGAAATGAAATACTCCTCCACTGACACATTTGAGACCTCTGACCTTCAAAATATTCATATGTATTCCTCTTCTTCTTTAAGTGACCTTTTAGATAACAAATCATTCCCAAATAATTGTGGCCCCAGGTGACATGTTAGGAACCAAATCCATTGATCTTGTTAGAAATTCTAACTTTAATATGGTTTAAGAGACACACAGAAATGGCAATGTTCCACACTAAAGAGCGCAAATATTTCAAAGTAAGAAAGAAATTCTGCCTCTACCTTACTGCTTGACAACTAATCTGCTTCCAGGAATCCATCGTGTGAAGAAATCAAACTAAAGCTGACAGGATGCTGGGACAAAGATGTGGCTTTTATACAGTCTGAGAAGCATTGAACATCTTTAAGGACGAAATGTCCTCAATCTCTCGGTATGTGCCAATTTCCAACCCAGGAGGAGGTTCTCTGTCACAAACACTAATTCTCACATTGACTGACTGAATGATAAAATAAACAGAACAATTTCATACCCTAAGCACAAATATACTTACATGTAAGCCTCTATAATATATTCAGTATTTTCACCTAGAGAGTGCCTCCCTGCTGAGCAGCAAGATTTGAGAAATTCTCCATCATATATAAACAAATTCAAAGGCAAAATGCACCCAGACAATATTGTAATCTCTCCCTCTGTTCCTTCCTCTCTAAGTGATGAGGCCCCCTGAAAATTGAATGCCACTTGTTTTCCAGCCCATCTCCTGCCTGAAAAGGCTGCCAACCTCTGTACCCTGCCAACGCACGCCTCTCAGCCGCTCTCTAACCTTCATTTGGCGCACACACAATAGAAAAATTGCTCGGCCCAGCCCCCCTGCCCTCGCCAATTCGCTGCTCAACACCGCTGCTTCTGAATTCTGCAATAGTGGGGGACGCACCCAGTGAGCCATGCCATTGTTATTTGTCTCTTCTGAAGTGGAGAGGGACACACACACACACACACGCACAGATATGGGTGGGCACACATGTGTTAACTTACACACATACCCATAAATCATTCTCTGTGGGGATTGAGTTGTACAATCATAAATTCCCCTAAAAATGTCAAAGCCGGCCTCATCTATCACAAAAACTTCTCTTCAGTGAAAACCACAATTCATTATAAACAACTGCCTTTGGAATTAGGGTTCTTTGTACTGAAAATTCAGACAACACATCAGCTACCAAGCATCCCTGTGATGGTGGCGTCCTGGTGCCCATCAGTGTGAACTCTTTGCCCAGGGGTTAATTGGTGGCAGCCGCTTGGCCTGCCATCTGATGTGGCAGGGTGTGGGTGTGCTGCTCTGCTGATGGTGCAGTAATAAGAAGGACAGACAGGCAGGCACACTCCTTCTACAGTCTCTCACTCCCCCCCGTGGGACTGCTGACTGACAGGACTGCTCTTTCTCCTCAAGGCAATATGTACACACACACAGACAGCTACGGAAGAAGGATTATAAATATAACTGTTGAACCAAGGAGCAGCGGTCTGGTCCTGCTGCTACCAGTAGGTTCAGTGTGCCTCCAGAGTGAAAAGGCACAAAGCAGGTTCACACACTATCCGACCAATATTCTGAACTTCAGCTACATCTTCAGGTGTCACACATTACCAGTAATAGGCCGTGAAAAACAACTATCTTCAGTCACACCTGGACTTTCTGGCTATCTAAAGATCAAGCTGCGAGTGTATTTTGGTTAAAGTAAGTTCCAACTCCTCAAAAAATTACTCTTCTGAATAAAATAAAATGAATGCGACTTTCGCCTATACACTCAAGTCAGCGTCTGTGATGTTTAGGATCCCCAAAAGCCATTAACACTAAGAGAAATCACACATTAGAAAGGAAAAACGGAGATGGTAATCAGACAGCAACATCTCAAATAACACCAGCTGAGGAGAGGTGCTAATAATATGATGAAATACAAGGCGGGGACTATTGGATGAGGTGTGATGGATGGTGGATTAACAGAACTGTTTGAACTGATGGTGGGTGGCTTGATGTCTGGGGAGGTGTTTACAGCAGATGATTGAACAACCCATATTCCTTTGTTTCAAACACCTTACATATCTCTTATGTACATTCACAATTTTGTACATTTAAAGTGATGAGTTTTTCCCCCCACTCAGTTTCCCTGCTTAGATGCTCTCAGCTTGTCCTCGACTCACCTGAGAGAACATGTCTTGTACTTGTATTTTAATGCCGTCAACACCAGTTGCATTGTATCCATTAAATATGACAAATGACATCTCAACAGAAGAATGCATAAACTGCAGGAAAAATACGAGAGGCATTTCCTAATGAAACATCTACATAATGTATTAAACAACTGTGCTGTGCTGCTAATCTGAATAAAATGCTTTTTGTTCTGGTGACACACTTACAGCATCTGCGCTGCTCTAACATCCTGTTCTAGTCTTTAGCAAGGAAGAGATAATTGGTTTTTTCAACACAATCCGTCTCCACGGAGACCAGACATCTCACCAGTACTAATCTGCCTCTCTCCTTCCCTCCCCGCTCCTCCTCCCCTCACCTCCACACTCCATCAACAGTAATGTACATTAGAGCTGACAGATAAAATGTACAGTGGATGATGGGTGGGTGTGTATGTGTGTGTGTGTGTGTGTGTGTGTGTGTGTGTGTGTGTGTGTGTGTGTGTGTGTGTGTATCTGCATGAGGGGACAACTGCACATTCATTCAAGCCAGATATTGTTACTGTGCCAAACTGGAGCTGGTGGAGGCTACTGGTCCTTGCCTGAAGCCAAAGCTGTACTTGTGATTTCATCTGGACCGCCTCTGGTTATTGAGGCGGATCTGAGCCAAATCAATTAATATAGTATGTGGTGAGCAGGGAAATTACTTTACAGTACCCAATACTCAAATATGTGTCCTTTAATGTGATTTTTCTTTCAATGATGATGTGGTTAGATACATCTGTTCACACGAAAAGGGAAGGAATACATGGCTGGTAGTATTGTCTTCAAACAGAGTTGCTAAACACCTCAGCGCACTGAAGGAAGCCATCTGACTCTGTGAGGAGCAAGCTTGTTGACGGGTGCAGGTAGAGAAGGCCTAGAGCTCTCCCGTTTGACTGGTCCGCCAATAAGGGAGAAGTTGACCCCTTGAGACACAGCCCCACCTCATTTGCATAATGAGGCAGAAATGCATAGAGAAATGTAAAAAGGACAGGCAGAAATAAATACCATTGGGGAAATAAATAGGGTAGAAAATGCGACGGAAGAATAAAACAGACATAAATAAATACATTTAAAAAAGAAGTAATTAATAAGATTATAACGGACAATAAATAAATAAGGTAATTATTACAAAGGTGAAAAAGTAAAGAGGCTAATTAAAATAGATATATACATTTATGTCTCCTTGTATAATTTAATTACTGCCTACATTTATTTATTTACTTTATTTTTTTGTGCATTTAATCGGATGCTTATTTATTTATTGAGTATTTATTTATTTCTGTCTTTATTTCTGAATTTGTCAGGATCAGTCCTCTATAAGAATGAGGTGCAGGGCAGCAGCAAAGAGGAGGAGCTGGGCAACAGAGAGGCATGATGACAGTGAGATCCACACTTCTGGAGGGCTTCCCAGAAGGCGGCTCCAGGGCAGGATCAGAACAGGCAGGTATTGGGCTAGCTGGCTCAAGACACAGGTTCCAAACCTGAATCCAAACCTAATCGACTGAAGTGAAGGTTTGGATTAGCAGGTCGGAGTGAAGGCTGGCGGCTAGCATGCTGCAGGTCAGCCGACTGGGGAATCCAAGGAGGCTGGAGTGAAAGGCCCAGGGGAAACAGAAAGTGGAGCAGAGCTAATGTGGAACTTCCACCTGTAGTATGCTACCAACTTGGCAAACTCAGGGTCCCGTTTCCAGTAGACAGCAAGGGACTCTAGGTTTTGCCACGATCTCCGTTAGCCAATCATGTAGTCACTGTCAAACTTTAAATCTGTTCTCCTCACTGCTGCTGTCAGCTGTCAATTCTGTGTGAAATCACTGCAGCCCTCCTCCACCCCCTTCACCTCCAGTTCATCATATCCAGACCTAGATCGAGCTCATCAGAGGTCCACTCCTCGTCGCATCCAGATCTTCAGCATTGTCTTAGATAAATAACCACCAATGTCTAGACTCCGTTGAGGGGGATTCTATACCAATGGCTTCACCACCCCGTTTAAATACCATGATGTCACGGTAGGGTCTAATCAACAAAGACTATTAACATAGGGCTGGGCAATAAAATAAATGTTCAATAAATATTTGATATAATTCATCTGAATCATGAACGAATTAGAACTTAACTTTTCTATTAAGATATTTATTTTGTTGAGGAAAAGAGACTGCGGTGGCAATTCGAGTTTTCAAATAAATGGCTTAGGCAACACTTGTCTTTCTGTGAAATTTATTCAAGTCTTCTGCAGAAGGAACTGACTGGGACACACACGCATCAGAGTATCATCCAAGTGAGCTGCAGTGTCTCAGCACACTTTTATCCCAATCTCAGCGTCAGCACTATCTTACCACTATCACAATCTATCGTAAAGACAATCATGCCTAGTACAGCCTGGTACATGTTGTAAAACAATGAAAGACATGACCCCCTGGACACATCGTAAAGCATCACACACATTTACCTCCCATTGACCCCGTACCTGATAAACCAGAGGCCCTCAGTGAGTAACATTAATTACATCACTGTTTGGAGATGGTACTCATAGAACTCCCATTACAAGACTGAAAAAAGATTGTACTTAATTTTACTCATGCATATTTGTTGAAAAAGGATTTTATCATAACTGTTCAATGTTCATATTTGTTAAGTGATCCACTGTTTGGCATCAAATGTTCGTCATGTTCTGACCATGAAGAATATTTAAAACCACAATTAACCATCTGGTTACTTCTTTCACTTCACAAAAATCAGCCTTTAACCTTTTTGATTTGACATTTATCATGATCTATATCTATATTGAAGTATATGAAATGTTTTATCCTGATTATATTAATGGCCATATTGTCCAGCCCTAAGTTAACATTTTCCATATTCAATGTGCACAATCAAATATTCGCTCACTCTCCTAATTGAAATGGCTCTTTCAGGTAGTCAGCTAGTGTTGCCAAGGTTTTTGGGTTTTTTTCACATTATGGCGCAGACAGGTACTCTGAAAAATCAAACAAACAAAACACAAAGCAGCCATCTGTCCTATTGACAGAAAAGGTCTAGAAAGCATGCCTCCCTGCTGGGCACTGAGATCGCAGCCATGTTGCTCCTTGACCACGCAGAGCAGCAGCCTGAGCATCCTTTAACAACAAACAGCCTTGCACTGTGTGACTGACTCCTGGCTCCCCTCCAAAGAGGTGACCCTGCCTCTCCAAGGATGCAACACAGAAAGCTACCCCCTCTCACACACCATACAGAGACATGGGTCAAGCAGACACACAGTTTCTCTGACAATATAGGCTTTTCCTGGCTCAAAGGAAGCCCAGGAGTCCTAACCGTCCTCCTCTGAACACTTAAAAAAAGAGAGTGAGTGGAAAGCAGAGCTCATATGGTGTACACAAAACATTACTTGCTCTATTCATCCATCTGTAAAACACAAATGGTTCCAAAGTGCTTGAGAATAAGAGTCGATCACATCGCAGCTGCTCTGTGCTGTCTGTCTGCTGAAGAGACGAGCTAAGCAGCTCTAATCTCCATAAGGAAGCATAAACAGGCGTATGGTGTCAACAGTTGACTGGGTTCCACACCCTCTGCTCGACAAGTCAGCCACTCATCCCATCACAATGCTGTTGTGTAACTGTCAGGCGGGCTGGGCGACCACCTGCAGCACAACAGCCCCGTCCTCAGTGATTTAGGTGCTCCGAGACGCAGACAGAAAAAATGAGACAGACAGAAAAAGATATTGTTTTGTCTAGAATGGTTTACACAGAAGAGGGAAAAGGTGGAAACTGAGCTGATGTAGAGAATATAATAAAAAAATATAAAGGTTTAGAAAATATGTGAGAAGGTGGGAAGAGAAGGACAAATTGCGTAGGTGAGAGATGAAGTGAAATGTGAGAAAGGGACTTTGGGAGACAACAGCATGAGAAAAAGGTGTAAGTGCGTGACGTGGTGGGTGAGGTGATGTATTGGGGAGAAGGTGCTCTAGTTGGAGGACAAAAGAGGTGAGAAGAAATTCCCTGGAGGCTGTTGCTCTCTTTATGTCTCCTTGATTTTTACTCCTGTGGAATACATATATAAATATATATGTCTTATAATAAGAGAGAGACAGCACAAAACGATCTTACCTGTGCAATCTGTCCTCCAATAGCTTGATATACTTGGTAGTGTTCTCTTTCAGCCGGGTTTCTGTATGGAGAGAGAAGCAGAGAGAGAACAACAGCCTGTTACTTGCACTTCATTTACTATTTTGATGGGGTATCCTAGCAACAAATCACAGCTCTAATACCATTAAAACTGACTTAGCTATATTGTACATGGACTCCGTTAGGGAAGGTAGTAGTCATCAAAGTAGGTGACGATGGTGGTGCTGAGAAACTGCAACAGTACAGTTCAGCACAAAGGCCCAGCTGGCTCTCTCTTACGACCAACACACAATCGAGGAAAGATCATTCCCACTGCTCTAAGAAGGGATAAAATTGGAAACGGCCTGAGGATAAAGGGGGTTTTCATGGCATAGGTCCTTATCCTGTGCCAGATTTTCTGTGGGGCATAAAGTTGGACGGATAACTTATGCTGCTTCCTGTGCCTTTCTGCCAGCAGTGAGCTGTGCCTGAGGAAGCAGACGCAGGCTGGCTGAGCGTTAGTCAGGATGGAGAGGAGGGCAATCTGAGCGCCGTTAATGAGCTCATGTATGAAACATGAGAATATGCCCCCCGCAGCAGCAGATCTTTAAACACAATATGATGCACTTATATCAAATTGCACCGCTATATATGTGCACACTAGTTATAATGTTCAATACAAGCCTCCACCTCCCCACTGAAACACACACAAAGCTGGCCTCATATATCACAACACCTGTACAGCTCAACAACCAGTCAGATTCCCAAACTCTGGAGCAGTGGTTCCCACTTTGGGGTCGGGATTCTTTTATAGTCATTGCTATTTTCTTTCTAATAAATATACAAATATTTATATATTCATATAATACATATAAATATTAAACAATCTCAGAAAGATTATTAATTAAAATGGTAAAGAACTAGTTCCACATTTGGGAAAACATCAGAGAGAGTTAGATGAGACGATTGATACCGATCATCTGTACACTAAAAATGCAGCTGGGCAGAGCCAGCTAGCCTGGCACTTCTAAAACTCACTAACTGACATGTTATATCTTGACCACTTAACAGTTACTTCCAATCAGATGAGACTCCAGGAAGTTACTGCCCCAAGCCAGGAAATAAACAGGCACACTAACACTACGGGTTTTGTCTGGATTAAAACAAACAAGTTAATTAGTGAGATTTAGAGGTGCTGGCTTCCTATTTACTGCACAGACATGAGAGTGTTATCAAACTTCTCATTTAACTCTCGGCAAGAAAGGGAATAAACATATTTCCCAAAATGTTGAACAGAGACATTGATAGAGTACATCCCACGTTAAAAAGACATTACTTAATTTTTTCATGAAGGATGAATTTTAAAGACAAAAATGGTTGGAGACTACTTAGCTTTCTCACATTGACTAGAACTCACACAGAGAGAGACAGTCACCTAATTGAGTGTTCTGAATCCCACTGAAGATTGAAATATAATTTCTATCATTGTCTTGATGGTGGTTATTAGACAGCATCCGCTCCAGGATGAGACAAGCTGGGGGCTGGCACAGCAGGGATTAAAAGAAAATGTCTGAGACTAAGTGATTGTGTGACACACACACATATTCTTGTCCATACTTTGGTGAAGAAATGAGATGGGCTATTTATGGGGGTCGCATGTGTGTTTCTCAGAAAGAGACTTTTTCCTGAGAGTCGTTTTAATTCAAAGTGGTCAATCCTGCTAAATCAGAGGGAAGAGGGAGGCCGCTGGAGTAGCTATCACGTATCTGGTGAGCAGATCTGGTGTATGCGGACCAGACAGCTCACTTACCACCCCTCTAATTGCTATGTGAGATCCTATCCTACCTGACAGAGTTTCCCTTGTCAACTTCCATTCATGCTGGCTCCGTTAAGCAGCCTGCAAGAAGATAGCCACTGAATAATACATGGGGGGCATTAAGCCTGACTTCGATGGCACAGAGCTTGTACAGATGCAAGATGACAAAGTGGGCTACGGCTGGAAGAAAAGTGAGAGCCAGATTTAGAAATAATATACTGTGAGGAATAGAAACAGTCAATATAGACATGAGCGTCATAACAGTTAACTTAATATTTCTTTCTATGCTGTTATACGCAGTCAGTGTGCCATCCTGTCGCCATGCCAACCGGTGGCAAAACCAGTGAGCCTTTTCGGGTGTGACAGATGAAAATAATCTTTTCTTTATAGAATGGGACAAGACATCAAGCGACAGAGCCTCCTCCTGCGCTCAGTGGAACCGAAACACTAGGGTGATATTACCACTTCCTGTAAGCCCGGCGGGAGGTTGCTGTCATTGGCAGGCCATGCGAACAAAATCAGCACTAAAAAGCCCATAAAGAAGAGACTCACTCTGTCAGTCCCTGATACATGCGGCAGTATTTTTGGTGTTGAAGGAACCTCACAAAGGCGTTCACAGAGCCTGCATTGGAAAATTCATGAGTTCAGCCTCCCGTCACACCAGTGATCTCAGCAGGCACTAAACATCACCGATTGCTGCCAAGGACCCTGGCCAAAAGTGACGAGGCCATCCATTCACAATACAAACAGAAATGAGACACTATTGAAAGATGACGAGAATGTGTTACTGGATGTTGCAAAGAGGCCATTTGCTTCATATAGGTCAAAATACTCATTCATTAGTCTAATGAAGAAATAATTACTTCAGCTAAATAGATGTAAAGATGATAAAAATTATGAATCTGATTATTACAATCGATAGCATAGACAGAAAGCAAATGGAGCAGAAATATCACACAGTGATTCACAATTCCCGATGATGAAGTTACAAGCTTTAATGAGCCTGCAGAAGTTAACGATGGCAAGGTGTTTGGATGTGCTTTTGCATTATGAGCATTCGAACAGCTCTCTAATTGAAAGTGAATAATGCAGTAATTTCTGAATTGCCTTGTAACAATAAAAGCAACATCTGTGAGGCCTTTGTGTTGTCTAACAAATTAGAGGCGGCTCCATGCTAACGAAGCACCACCAATATGCATGTTATAAAAGCCTGTACAAAATAAGGCAGAAGAGAAATTGTGTGTGTTTGTAATTGAGTTGAATGCACCGACTGTGATTAATGTGTTTAAGCTCAGCTTGGGCTGTTTACAACACTGCAGGTATCACAAACACACAGTCAGCATATATGCAGACACTCACACTGTATGAATGTATCTGAACTTCACAGCAGCCCAGCAGCATAGCTAACGAAGGAAGAGGAACAGACTGATATCTCAGACAGACACTCAATAACCCATGATGCTGTAAGGCTGTAGGATCACAAAGCATAGCAGTACACAGATTGCAGCTGGCACGACGTAACATATTGTGAGGCTATGCAAGAATGCACAACAAAAAGGAATCATTTGACAAAAAAAATTGTCTGTGTGAACAAAATCTGTGCTTGTTTGGATATATATATATATATCTTCAAATATATATATATTTCTGGTTAAGGGTGCTGAATTGCTGAATGCAAGACATGCTCTCCGGCATTATAACTCAAGTCAAACTCAGTAAACATGGTTTGTTTAGTGGAGATTCTAAACTTACTTTGCTGTGGGCTGCAAAATAAAACATTTTCTGATGACTGAATCTGGGAAGCACTAAGAGGCCCAACAAAGAGGAACTCACCCAAAATGTGCAGTCATATAAGCTCTACAACACTCCCACAACAGCACACCTACTAACTCCATTAAACTGGCATCTTATTATTTGCCTCTGCATCCTTTGACAAACTCCATTAGCACCAAGCTAATTTCAAAAACACACGTTTCTGAGTTTATCACCTCCCTCTACAGAGACGTCTACAGAGAGTCTCCAGCCATGCTAGCTGATCTGAGGCTGTACTTGTGCTGCATTCCAGGCAACTACAAAAAGTACCATAGAACGCCACCTGAAGTCGGATTTCCTATTTGTGAACTCGGAGAAAAAATATGTACCCCGACTTCACAAGTAACAGCCGAATGATGTCACACAACAATGGCAGCTCCCATGGAAGCCCACACTGTAAATGGTAAACCATAAATTAAAAGTAAACAATCTCTGAAAGTCATCTTCTCTAACCAAAAGTTACTCAGGAAAATGTTAAAAATGCCCAGAAATGTGAAAACATTTGGAAATATAGCCTACAACTTTTGCTGACTTTTGAGGATTACCAACTAATACACAGTTAACGAGTAACTTATATTTATCACTTGTTTTTAATAAAATGGCCATCCTTTTAATTAACACCAAGTGCACTGCTGAGGGTTTAACTGTGCATAAACTTGCCAAAGAAACATAAGTTCGTCACTGTCAGCCATGTGTATTGTTTACATTTAGCGTCATGCACCACCATGCAATTGAAACGCTTTGAGGTTGAAATTTTCCAGTTCCGAGCAGTCTGAAAGGTGGCATTAGGACCCTGGGAACATAGATACGCTCCCATGACTTAAGAATTGGACTACCAGGGGATGGCACTAGATGCAAAGTTAATCCATCCAGTGGTTGTTGAGCAATTTCAGTCTGGACCGAAGTAGTGGACTGGCAGATGGGCATTGCCATCCCTAGACTTATGCTGCTAGCACAGCTAAAACCAAACAGCTGTAAACACACTTTGGCGCTTACCTTACCTAAATATGATATAATCAATACATTCAAACTCAACCTCCTTTTGAGAACTATGGATTTAACGAAAATACATTGAGTAATGCAGTGTTGGGAGATATTCTAGTGGGACCTCAATCAACTTCCCATTGTTTTTTAGAAATTCTTAAGGGTATAGACCCTATAAAACTCCAGACAAATTCACAATGGAATGACATCCTCTACTGAATCACAGGAAAAATGAATACTGCCAAAACTTCACAGACAAAAACCAGGAAACATTCTCCCGGGTCCACTTAACCACTACAACGCACTCAATCATTCAGACACTCTTTAAGAGAAAAGCTGTCATACGTTCCATCATGTTCTCAACAGAAGCACCCTGAAAGAGGCAGAGTCATGAATAAATCATATATGTCCTCGCCTTTACTATTGGCACTCCATTAAGATTAAATTGCATTTGTTTAATAACACAGAGTGACAGATTTCTGATGTACACTTCAGCTGCTGGACTGGTATGCACAGTTTAGTTTTGCCTGGACGGGCTACCAAATCCTGGCAAGGAAAAGATGACAATGGAGTGGGAGCTGCATGAAGAAAGAATAGATGGTGGAGGTGCAGCAAAACACAAAAAAACCACTAATTAAATTTGTTCCAGTGGAGCCATGTGGAGAAGACAACCTACTATCTTTATCACAGATAGCCAAATTACCTGACTGCTAGAGAATATACCGCCTGCATACTAACAATAGCATTAAATAAGCATTACCACAATACTTGGATAAATCAAGAGGAACACACACTGACACTGCCTCCACATTTGAATGTTCTCACTCCTGGGGGTCATTTACTCATGTTAGTCAGCTCTTCAATTATTTATTTGTAAATTTAGTATCACTCTAGATCTCTCTTGGGGACGAAATTATACTCTCAGCAGGGAATCAAACCTCCGGCTATAATGGGTTTGGTATTCATCAGCACTCGTCGCAATGGCAATTAGGGACGTAATGGCTCCCAGGCCAAAAACCCCCACACCACAAAGTACGCTGGGCGGAGATGCTCAACAAGCTGAAGCTGTGTAGTTTAAGCGAATGTATGTGTGTAGATTTTGTGGAGGCATCAGCTGAACTATGTGTTGCTTTAGAGCTCATGACATAACAATGGGCCTTTTCAAGAACAGGCATATGGTTTTCTTGTCATAAGATGACACTTGTGTCATTAGCATATGCTAGAAATGCCTCAGAAATCAAAAGGGTGGCCATCTTGACTTTGAAGTAGACCGTAATTTTTAATCCCCTCCAGCTAAAGAAATGGTAATGTGCTGTTTGTGGGCTATCAGTTTCCAGCTACCGTGTGCCAGCCCCCTTATTACCAAATAGGATGACAGTTTAATGAGCTCCTTGCTTGGTGTCAGCAACACATTGTGAAATTGTGCCTGCTGCCATATTGTGTGCACCCACTTGAGCAGTTGAGAAAGCCATACAACCAATCATTAACTCGCCATCTCTTCCCACATCTGTGACGTGTTACTCACCTGATTCTAGTTCCTTTGTTTAGCACTAGCACTCGCATGTCACTGGTTTCCCATCCTCCATGTCCATGAGAGCTGCATTATTCTGTGTGAGGCGCGCAGTGTATTTAGGATACTGACGTAAACTCGAACATGTCTTTGGTGGTTGTCAGGGGAGAGATGAATGCTGTCCCTGGCTGTTTAGCAAGTCAAGGTGTTCAGAACTGTATTTCAGCAACAAAAATGAGGCAGGTGACAGTTCATGCACACAGGTGAAGGGGAAAGAAACATAAACCCTTTTGCAAATAAAAGGAATTGCTTTCTACTAAAATCATCTAAATTTTTTATGAACGATATAATATTATATGAATGAAAATACCCATGCAAAGTCCATGCATTACCATAAAAAAACTCGATGCAACTCAGCCTGACTGCAGCAATGAAAGGGTGCCCCCTAGTGACAGCAGAGGGTGCATTCAAGACAAGACAATGGGTCGACACTAACAGTGACGCTGCAGCCACAGGCCTTAATGATGTAGACAACAGCATATGTTGGCTGAATGCACGACTTGGGGTTGCAGCAGGAGCCCGATCCAGAGCCCCCGTCTCTGGTCTTTCACTACCTGCTCTGGCCTCTTCACTTCTCACTCACTCACACCCATCTCAGTGCCTCAGAGAGTGAAGTGACCTTCTTTAGAAATCTCCCTGTGACTGATGGACTAGAGAGAGAAGCACTGCAGGTGGTGCCGTCAAAATCCATTTATGTCTCTGCCAGTGCCAGGCAGCCAAACCAATCTAACTTCTCCTTCTCCCTCAAAAAAAGCAAGCCCCTTCATTAAGCAACATTCAGATCTCCTCTAGTTGTAGAGTGTGTGCGAGCGCTGATACATCATGTCTGCACTGAGTGGCTTGGAGGTAATTGGCTACTTCACACAATCCAAAGCTCATTTTGCGTGAACACCGCACCCCTCCCTCTCCTCTTAACAACTGCCAATCCTGCTGGTAACTCATTTGATGCAGAGTCCCCACTGACAGCAGTTCACTTCTCCTTCATTTGGAAAAAAAAAAGTCATCGTCCATTGATGTCGTCCCAGCGTGGAGAAACATCAAGAGAGGAATTGTCTTTTAAAAAGCGTTTTTTCTAAATTCACATTTGAATTGATCTTTTAAAAAGGTAAATTCAAAGAAAGAAAGTTACCTTAGAAAAATACAACAAACGTTTTCTTGTCTCAGTGGGCAGGTGAGCGTGAGAGACATGAGAGTGAGAGTGTTCTTTCAGATAATTTCACATTTCTTATATAGTTTAAAGCTGCAATGTTTTTGTATTAACAAATGGAACAAATGTTATATCAACTTAAAACTTTCATATGTTATTGTTTACAGGTTGATTCCACTACCACATAGTGGCCAAAAGATCTTTTAATGTAGGTTTAAGGAGCAAAGATCCGGTATTGAGCCCCATATATGGCTAAAACGGTTTTATCTGCAGTTGGCAGGTGGAACATACACAGCACACAACTCATGTCTGTCTACATCATTGCTATGTTGCCTGATCCCTGGTATGCAAAATAGAAAAAAATCCAGTCATAAATTCTCATGTTTTTACAAATTTGAATGCAATGTAGGTCTGGAAAAGTGATAACTGTGGTGATTAATTATAATCTTAATTACATTTGTCAAAACATAAGTCATCTGTAAATCTAATCATGTAAATAAGTATAAAAGGGTAACAAAAACAAAACAAGAAGTTGTGATTTTATGTGCTGGACTATTTCTTGACCGGGTGCAGCAACTTCCTGAAATCTCCGCTGGTTGCCTGGCAACCTCACTACCTCACTGTGACGACAAGACTCCAGGAAGTTACTGCGCCAGGCCAAAGAATAATTCCACATCACACCACGTAAAACCACAAAATGCCGTTTTTTACCATCGTTTTTTGTACTGATTAAACAAACAAGATATAAGCAGATGAAGATGGATGGATGGATGTAACGTGAGCTTTAGAGGTGTCGGTAAGGAGATGATGTTATTGTTCCCTTTGGACAGCACTAGGCAAGCTGTTTCCAGTCTAAGCCAATCGGCTGCTAGTAGTAGTTTCATATCTAAAGGGCAGATATGACAAACTACTCCTTTAAGCTATGTAAATGTAACTACAAGTACCTGTAACGCTGTCGTTGGTCATTAGTGAGAATTATTTGTTACCCATAGAAAGTCTTTGTTAAAGTAATGAGGATGATTTGTTGCTTTTAGTTCGTACAGCCTACAGCAGCCCGGTGTTTCCTTTGGGATCACAACAGTACATGTTATCTTGATGTAGACTGACTCACCGTGCTTTGCCTCCTTCTGCTCCAGCTCCTGCCTAAGCTGCTGCCGCTGCTCCTTCATCCTGGCCAGCTCCTGGCGGCTCCCCAAGCTGAGGCTGTGCAGCCTCTTGGCCAGAGCCTCCAGCCGGTCCCGCTCCAGGTACACCGCCTTCATCTCAGCCCTCAGCTCCTTGGCACTGCTGAAGTCATTACCTGCACCGGTGCACCACAGGAGGACATTAAGCTTACACCATCCATTAATGAGGGCCTCTATCATTAATAGCGTAATTAAGTGAGGCTAATGGTGGGCAATTCAAGTAAATGAGGTAAATAAAAGATGTGAAATGTAGGAAGGGTTGCATTGGGGTGTGGTGGAGTGGAGAGTTACCCGAGATGGCTGCCAGTTTGGCCTCTTGCAGTGCCAAAAGCTGAGTTTCAGTCTCGCTGACTTTCCTCCTCAGGCTGCTGCCCAGCCTCTGACTCATGACCACCTGGGGAAAAGAAGGAGAAGAAGAGGCAGAGGAGAGAGAGGGGGGAGGGCGGTAACTAACAAAAGCTTTGCAGACACATGGATCCCACAGGATGCATAGCTCATTTCCAATTCTGCTTTCATTTTCTTTTTGACACTCATTCTTACAAGACCTTACAGATTCATTTCCGTCCTTCTGTGCTCGTCCTGCCTTGAATACACAGCAGAGCATCAACGCTGATGTGTTACCTTGTCTATAACCTTTAGAAAGAAAGAGAGTGTGTCTCCTTTCACGTGGACAGACAGGAAAATGTGAAATCTCCATAAAAGATGCCATTAGAATGTCAGAGAGGGAAAAAGGCCCTGAATGTCACTGGCCTGACGGGGATGCAGCACCTCAGCTCTGTAGTATTCACAGAGGAGTTGATGGCTACAGCCTGTCTGGCCCCATCTGCCCTCACTCTGCCCTTTAAACCTCTGTTCTCCAATGTATTCACTTTGAGTTACAGCCAGATACAATCCCCATGATGCGCTTCCTTCTTTTGAGGAACTATTTTCATCACTCAAAGGGATGTGGAGCCGGATTTTCTGACGGATTTTCTCCTTGAATCTGACACAGTTTTGTGCAACACTTTGAAAAGGCAGTCAAATAGGTTGGTATTTCTGAGGCAGAACATCTCCGGGGAGTTTTCTTCCCACAGAAATATAGAAAACAGTTTTTTTCAAACAGGCTTGCATAATTTTATTCCAAGCATTACATGGACTGGAAAATGCTCTGGAGTGCTTTTTAAACTGTAGAAATTCTGGCATTGGTGATTTAATTTTGAGAACATCAGACTATTTGTCAATTTTTAAAAAGTCAATTGAGTAAGTGAAAGTTACTTTTCATGCCAGCAGTCTTTTTGTCACAGCAGGTGTGCCATTTTCCACAAAACTTATTTCAACTTAATAATGCACAATCTTGTGATTGAGTGCTATATATCCTTTGAGGTACAGTCGCCACATCAACCAACCATTTGATGATGGGACACGGCAACAGTTAAGAGGTCTTTTCTGAGCCCTGTGTCTCTTGCTGTGCCTCTCTCCCTCCACCACATCTTACAGATTTCTGCTGCTTTTGGCTTTATCCAGCTGCAGAGATCCAGGTATAGAGATCAGTGGGAGGGACAAGCAAACCTCCGAGATTCAAGAGGAAACTCCAGAGACACAGCACATACAAAGGGAAGAATGCAAAGCCCCTGACACACATAGAAACCCCAACAAAGCCATGCTATGTTAACTCAACAGACATTTGACATAGTACACATAAACCTATAAAATCCACTGTGAAAGCTGCAAAAAAGTTACATGAAAACTGCTGCAATTAAATTACAAATTCATAACTTGCTTATTTCTCTTCAGAAATACACAGAAAATGGTTGTATTTTTCTAAAGTGTTGTGTTGTTTTATGGAAGATTTCTTCAAAACGACGTTACATGACTCGACTCAACTACGGAGAGTTCACTGCCTTGTCAGAAATAGAAATAATCCCATAATTACATACATTTAGTATGCATATACTAAACATTGGCACACAGTACATACTTTCTTTTTTGAATTACTACTCACTGAAACACTTAATACACATTTAGGCATTGTTAGCATTCTGAGGGGAGACTGAGCTGTTATGGACAAAAACAGGTCAGAGGAACAGTGGCTTACTTTGGCAGTGGCTTCCTTGATGGACAGATTCAATGCCTGCTCCTGCTCCTGAAGTCTGCAAAAAGGAAATAAAAATGTTACAGTGCAATACTGAAAGGAATGTCTTTCTTTTGGGGGCTTCAATAGATGTCAATGGGAGGATTAAATGTCCACCAGTTTGCTCTGGTATCCACTGCGAAAGTGGGTTATGAACTATTAAGAGAGTTAGTGAATCTTTTACACAGGAATATCTCAAAAAATCTTGTACAATGGATAATAGCAAAAGAGTAGGCACTAATTATTCACTCATAAGATTGATTGATTATCAAAATTGCGACAGATTACTTTTCTGACGGTGAACTAATCAATCAAAAAGATAGTTTAATATTTTGGAAATAGGCTCATTTGCTTTCTTGCAGAGAATTAGATTAAATGATCTATACCACTCTAATATCTCCACCTTCACTATGAAGCGAAAGCGAGCAGCTGGTTAGCTTAGCTTAGCATAATGACAGGGATGTGAAAACAGCTAGCCTGGCTCTGTTTAAGGGTCAAAGTCTGTCTATCAGCATCAAAAAGCTCACTAATTAACACATAATTTTTTGTTTAATACGCACAAAAACTAAAGAGTAAAAAATATTTGTGGTTTTATGGAGAACTGTTTTGATGTTGTTTTGTATTTAATGGACGACCTTATATGTGTGTATCTATCTTCTCATCTAACTATCGGCAAGAAAGTGAATAAGCTTATTTCCCAAATTGTAGAACTATTACTTTAATCAATTAATTGTTTTAGCTCTAGGTAAAATTAACCATCCTTCACCTTCCTCCAGTTCCAGCCTGTAGTAAAGCTACAGGTGCTAAGCACTGATGAGTCGTGTTGTTCATTCTCCAGTATCTGTTCTGGTCTAGATACCTCCTTTAAAGGTACTTGCCTTTCACATTTCATTTCTAAATCTAAAATGTCATATAAAACAATTTTTACTCAGTTACATCTTGAAATCCAGTGGAAACAAATATGGGAAAAGCTTAAATCTCTTACTTCAAATCGGCCTGTGACATACAATATTCAGTTCGCAGAATTTTAGTTTTTCGGACAATAATGGCTGTGTCTTCAATGTCTAGATTAATATTTCAGATATCAAGGGTAAACGTCATATCACTAATGTTATTACTGTGTGTTATTTGTATTTAAACATGCAAACAGGACAACCCATTAAGGTCACATTATTTGTAAGATATAAAATCAATTTGCATATGGACAAAAGGAGCATGAAATTCATTAGACACATCACAGTCACCTTGTGAGAATCCCAATCGTCTCATATCACAAATATCAGTATGCCCTTTTCATGTTATTCAAGCTGATGTTCAGGGTGAGTCAGAGTAAAATGTTGTCTCTGAATGTTACAGCACCCCCCTTTTTTAGCGATGCAGCTACTCTGGATAGCGTGGATTTCTTTCATCCAGTACCTATAAGGAAATAAAGCTTGATATGAGAAAGAAATGTCCTGTGTTATATGGAAAGGGAAACTGAAATACAATCATCATGATGACCCAAAGCACGCCACCCGCAGATGTGCAGCTGAATATCCAATCAGAGGTCGCAATTTCAATCAGCAGCGGGTATAAATGCGTTCCAGTTGGGGTGAGAATATGTCAGATATCAAATTATGCCAGGGATGGTGGGTCACGCCACCGAGAAGGCGATAAGTACAATTTACATGTCTTTCTAACGGGTGGCAAGACAGAGAGGCTTTCCACAGTGCTCCCTCGCAAGCTATTAACTTCAGAGTATACGATGCAAAGTAATCATTTGCATCTGAGAAAAAAAACATTACAATTCAAAGCAGGTTCAAGCAGGTGTGAGAGAAGAGGAGTGAGGGCTCAGGGGATGCGAGGAACAAAGAGAAAGTAGTTGTGGATGTTTGATATATCCTCTCCGAGATTGAAAACAAATGAATCATTCATCATACAGTCTTACAAATTACCTCCATGGGCACAAGAGTTAGATGTCATCAAAAACATCACAAATCTGTGCTATTTTAGCTATTTTTTGTATGTGTATGTTTATATCTGTATTTTTCTGTCCTTGGGAAGTCAAGCTCTTCTGTGCAGTTATTTGAGATGTTAATTGGGTTGAAACACGATCTTCTTGGCACAAGATGAGACAGTCCAGCCGTAAAATTTATTTAAAATGTCACTTTGCTTGTCAGAGGATGAATGAAGCAGGGAGGCAACTATTTTGTAAAATAGAGGATCAGCACTGGCACGTACTCTTCCAAACTAGCTCAATCAATGATAAGCAAATACCGTGACATGATATAGGTAAAAAATTCATGGACTGATGATCGTTGCAGTGTCACCAAACAGTCGCAGCTCTCTAGCAGCCCCACCTGGTGACTGACATTACTGCAGGGACTGTGAGAACCATCTACTCCATGAATGAATGAATCTGATCTGGTCACTAAAACATTTTTCAGATTTTGTCTAGTCTTCCATTTGAGATGCTTTGTTTCACCGAGTGGTTTTTTTTTTTACTCGAGCATAAGAGTGAGCACGATTTTGGTTGCTCGTGTTTTCATATCTTTTATATTATAATAACAATATTAATAGCAAATTCTTCTCTAATGTGTGTCTCTATCGTAGCAATCTCTACAGAACTGGTCCTTCAGACTGCAATAAAAGCTGCTTCATTAAATCAAGATTTGGTCATTATTAATTGATAGTACAAATGATTGTGTTTCTTTTTCACTGTGCACAATCAGATTGTCAAAATATCCCATATGCATATTCAAGGTTTATTTTGTGTCATTTGTCTCATTTGATCCATATCGCATCATATTGACAACTCAGCAAATTATTTTCACAGTTATGGGGTTCGGCAGAGTTCAGGCTCAACCAATCAAAGTCTGACTCCAGTGACCAATAAAAAAAAACACATCACAATAGGGTGCAAGATGAAAATGTATACAGTGTGAAAATGTTTCTTCACAGAAGACTCCAAAGTGCAATTTGACATTTACATCTTCCACATACATTTGCACATTTTCTAGACTGTTGGAGACTTAGGGCAGAAGCAGTAATGTCCAAAGATCTGCAGTGAATGTTTTCACTTGCTCATTTGGTTGTAACTCTCTCTATGTACTGATCACATGAAGATCATGAGTAAATTTCCCTAAAATGAGTCCATTGCCAGGGAACATTAGGTTTGATTAATTACCTAAAGCTTTTTTTAATGGAGCGTCACTAAGAAAAACAGACTAATCTCAATCATTCTAAAGGGAAAAAAGCCTGAAATATAATTGGAAGGTATGAGCCTTTATTTCTTTACTCTGAGAAAATGTGCAGCTAGTTGTTATTTTTGCATGTGATCAAGTGCACATACAAGTCTGTAACAGCTTTTAAACATAGCACACTTGTGCAGTGTAACATCATGTACTGTAAACAAAATTTGATGTAAGAAGAAACTGGTAAAATATTTTGCATTTATGTGACGCTAACCTGAGCATGGAGGGTGGAGGGGAGACGGAGATCTGCGTGCGGTTTTCAGAGGTGACAAGGTCCTGCAGGGTTCGGCTCATGTCGCGGAGCTGGGCCACGTTGCAGCTCCTCAGCACGGAGCCCTCTAGCTCCTCGGCCTCCATCTGCAGCTCCTCCTGCTGGATCTGCTTCTCCAGGTGCTGACTGCGGCCCTTCAGCTCTGTCAGCCTCTGCTGCAGTTCTGCTATCTCCTCCTGCATATGAGTTTGATTGAAGGGCCTTTATTTAATTTTCAGGCGTTGCGCATCAATCATAAAATACTACTTTAATTATCCAAACCACTACAATTCGCACTATATTTAAGTACATAACCTGAAATAGAACCAAGCTTTCTGTGAGTCTGACATTCACTTGCAGAGCTGCAAATATGAGCACGAATATAAGTCTTTCTATAAATGGTGAATATATACAGTATTATAATTTAGTAATACAAGTTTCATATTGGAAGTATTAACAATTACATTGGAGACTTTACTATTAAGCCATTCTGCTAATAAAATATTTAACAAAATTTAGATATTTCATGAGTGAGGGGGAAAAATGCAGGGGACATCAGGTAGGTCAGGGACACACACAAAGTGCCAGAAATGACTATTCTAAGCTTTTATGACGTGAGAATATGAGTTGAATTTACCTCTACCAGCCGTTTCTCTTGGATCAGACGATCTCTTCGATGCAGTGGACCCTGCAATGAGTCGGACCGCTCCCCTGCATCAGGCTCTACACCCTCCCTGACACAAAACAAAGTCACTACAAAAGCCAAAAGCAATGATGTTTTAATGTCTTCAATCATGACTTTTCTAAACTGTATTTTTCATAACCTTTGTCCACAATTCAGAGTCCTTTCTGTCTCTTTCAGGGGCACTTGAAGTGAGTTCATATGTGCACTAATGTGCCATTACCGATAAAGTTTGGCACTTTTCTCCAACTCACTGCAATGGAAGGAAATGCTGAATAACACAGGTGACACTTAATCTTTGGTGGCATGTTGTTTCCAGGTTGTTTTTCTTTTTTTTTTTTTTGCATTTTCAAAAACTGAGACTCTGAGATAAAGGTATGTATGGAAAACAGAGGACTACATGAGCTTTAGTTTACATTTGTTCAGGATACCCTTTGGAGAGAGAGGCCCCACCTGATTTCCTTCCTGTAAGAGCTATTTTTGACATCCCTCCCTCACCGCTCTGTACTACAACAGTGTGATAGAAGACAAAGCACAATCATGATCACAGGACAAAGCTTAAAAACGAAGTTTCAGCACATAGCTGAACTGCAAATTTCACCAAGAGCTGTGTTGACTTTAACACCGCAAACAGAGTAGGGCTTATTTTTTAATTAAAGTCTGTCATCAAATAAAATCTGAAAAAAGTAAGGAATCTTTTTGAATTCAACCACATTTTACCTTTCACTTCCCTGCAATTTACATCAATTTGAACACTATTCTCCATATGTCACTAAGAAGAAACATTATACTTATACGTATTATACAGTAGTATATGATTACAGTGATAGTAATATTACCCCTGTTTTAGCCTCTTTACATTGGCTCCCTGTTTGTTTTAGGATTGATTTTAAGATTTTATTGATTACTTTTAAGGCTCTCTATTGATTGGCTCCTGCTTATATATTAGACCTTTTAACTCCTTATGAACCTCTGCAAAATTTGAGATCTTCCGGCCGGGGTCTTCTGTCTCTTCCTGTGACTAGGCTTAAAACTAAAGGGGACAGAGCCTTTTCTGTCAGGGCCCCGAGGCTCTGGAACGATCTGCACGAGGAAGTAAGTGTCATGATCCTGTCTGTGTGTCTTGTTTGGGAGTCTGAGTTTAGTTCCATGTCCTTAGTTCATGTTTTGGTAATCATTCCTGGTCCTTGTTTGTATTATTGTGATTTGGTCTCCTCTGTACTCCGGGTTCTAGTTCTGTGTTCTCATTTAGGTTCTGGTTCTTTGTAATTTGTGTGTGTTTCTGTCTTCTTGGTTATTCACTCTGCCCCATGTCTGCTTGTCTAGTGTTCTCTCTGTTTCCCCCCTGCTGTCTCTCTGCCTGCCTGCCTGTCTCTCTGCCTCGCTAGCCCTGATCCCGCTCACCTGTGTTGCTTCCGCCCTGCTCGTTAGTCCCTGTGTATATATATATGCCTGCTTGTCTCTCCAGTCTTTGTCACATCCTTGCGTCTAAAGTTGAGTGTTCCTGCCTGTTCCTTGTCTTCCTAGTTCTGGATTATTCCCTGTGTTCTGGACTACCTTTGTTGGACTTTGCCTTGAGCTCCTTGTAAGCCTGTTTAAGTTAGTTTTTTTTGTGTTAATAAACATTTTTGGACTGCAACCTCCTTGCCTTGCCATTGTCTGCATTTGGGTCCTCGCCCCAGTCCATGACAGTAAGGCTCTCAGAGTCCGTGTCTTCTTTTAAATCTCTTTTAAAAACACTTCCATTTCCATTGCTTTTTCATTTGTATTTTGTATCTTGCGTTGTCCTCATGTATTTTACTTTATAGTGGTGTTATGTGCCCTTTTACACCCTGTGTTTATCTTTTGTAAAGCAGTTTGAACTTTTGTTTGATGCTATATAAATAAAGTTATTATTATAATTAATATTATTAATAATAATAAATATTAAAATATAATACTATATTAATACTATTGTATATTATTATTAAATATATTAATAATAATAAACAATGAAGAAAACTTGACTAAAAAAATTTTTAATCTGCATGACAGTAACTACAGAACATGATGTTCATTTCTGAGTGTGAGTACACTAGTAAAGCATGATGGAAATCATTGTTGTCATTGCTGTGTGACTGACCTGCACAGACTGGAGTCTGCCCTCTGGAGGGCGCTGTGCACCACCTGTCTGAGCCGCTCAAGGAACAGTGCCACGCTTGGCTGTCTGGAGGGTAAACCCAGCTTCAGAGCACCTCGCTCCCTGCACAGCTCCTCCAGCTTTTTCCCAAAACGCTCGGCTGTAAACACACATACACATATACTGAACAGCATGCAGCATCATATGTTAAAAAGTAAATTCATTAGCAACGACGTTAAAGTGAGAAAATCATTGTGCTCTAGATCTCCACAATGCTGTGCTGTGACTACACAGAAAGTGGGTTACTCACTCAGCCACAATGTAGCCTACATTCACTGAAATAACATGACTGCACACATGTCACTCCTTATTCAATTATCAAATTATCCCTTAACTAGAAGGCACTAGAGACCAAGGTTCTGTCAATACTGAACAATTTTCAGCTTGCTGTTACCAAGAAAGCATAATTCCCATCATTTAAATCTTAAGTATCTTTCATTTCTTGACCCTGTAAACACACGCCTGATCTGGAATCAACCCTCTCTGTTGGCTTCATGGTTACATTTGAAAATGATAACCATCTAAGGGTAAAAAAAAACTCCAAGTGTCTTAGTTCTTGTTTACAACATTTCATGGAAAGCTTAAGCTTTTCTGGCAGAAAAACAGACACAGAAGTTATCAGGAGTGGAAAGAAACTTTCCTACCAGAGTTTAAAATGTCTTGAGAGCAGAAGACATGCTGACCTAAATAATCACACCACTTAAACAGTTCAAGGTCTACAGGACGCAACGACAGCAGATGTTGGTATTTATTTCTGTCACAAGGTCCGAGAAATGGGTCAGAATACAGTCCTCTATAGGAATTAACTTTTCTCAGGCCAGCTACAAATAATATTAAGTTTCCCCTGAAGGAAGATTCAAAATAAAGTCCAGATTAAATGTGTTAGTTCTGAGGACTTGCTGGTTCTTTCCCACACAGTTTTAAAGTTAAAACATCAAAAGCTAAACCTGGGTGATGAAACATGAATTAGTGTTCACAAAGCCCCAGAAGTCGCCCCAGGTTTTTCTTGTAAATAAATGGAAGTGGAATTTGATTCAGCGTTATTTACTCTCTGTGCTTCTTCCAGTAGTTTCACATTGTCCAGTTTGTAGTTTTAGTTGGCTGACTGATCTGATGTGGTGAGCACTAACGTGTAAACTAAGCAACACACAACTGCTAAGGTCAGTGTCAACTCAACTGTTAAACTAATCCTCAAAGTAAGAGAACAATGGTATTATTTGTGCTAATCTTCCAATAGCAGACATTATAATGTATAGGCCACATTGTTTTATTAATCACTGGGGATTTTCAGTAGAAGTCATAAAACTCTCCAGAGTCAGAGTCAGTAAACAACAAACCATTTATTCTGCCCTCACATGCTTTTGCAAATACCTCAGTATGATCCACAACCAATTCAGTTTGCTATCCAATAAAAAGTAACTGGGTGATTTAAACACAACCGTCAACCTACAAATGACTGACTGAGCATGCCAGTAAAACCTCGATATAAATGGAGATTCCCAGTTACTGTATGTTAAGCTGCTGCAACTTTGCGTCCACTCAGGCTCACTTTTTCACTGTTTACTGGCCTCTTTCCATTAAATTTTGTTTTAAATTTCAAAACAATGTTCCTGATCAGGAGTAATAGGTCTCATTAAAAAAATAAATTATTTAAATTATCAAAAGAAAGGCATAAAACATGTCAGTTGGTTTAATGACAGCTCTCTATAATCCATCCACAGCTACAGTATCTCTTCAACAAAAGCTGTAATGACCTACTTATTAAAGCAACGGCTCAACTGAAAGTCTTAGTTCACCTGCGTCATAGTCGTCATCCAAAATGGCTTTCTGCTGGAGTCTCTGCAGCTTCAACATCATGGACTCGATCTGAGAGGGCGACACAATCGGCAGAACAGATTACCCAACAGTCCAGAGGGCAATGTTTTTAAACAGCACTGCCCAAAAAAAGATACATGTGGGTGCAATGACCGTCGTTTCAAAGTGAGGACTGGGTATGAAGTTTAAAACCTCATCATCATTACAAAGTTTTGCTGCTCTGTATACACTGTGTCTCATCTGTGAAGACTAATCGGCCTAACTAAATGTTTTTAAAGTTATATTTTCTTTACCTTCTCAACAGACAATTTAAGGGATTTCACCTTTTTAGTTTGTTAAGTAAATATGAAACATTTCTGTTGCATAAAACTATATTTATTTTTGGGACATTTTCCCAATCTTTTTCTTGTGAAATACTGGGTAGTTTTACCTCTTCTGGTAAAACTGTACAAAATATTCAAATTAACCAACCTGATAAGGTAAAACTCACTCTTTCCTATGTAAATATAACTTTTGACACAGGCTTGTAAGGACTTAAATACTGAAGCATACAGTACAGCAAAGAGCTGCAGACAGATAGCAGATAGAACTACAAGTGTTGATCTTTTAGATGCTCATCCTCAGAAAAAGCATGCACACTGTTTTCCTACTTTGCAAGAGAGCGTTAGATGAAAAGCTTAATAGCACTAAATATTAAGCTAGAGCCAGCAGCTGGTTAGCTTAGCTTAGCACAGAGACTGGAAACAGGGTCAAACTATGAATAGTCTGGCAGATTTTAAGATCCAGGCTAGCTGTTTCCGTGTTTCTTTGTGCTAAGCTAAGCTAACCGGCTTCTGCCTGTAGTTTCATATTTACTGTGCAGACATGAGTGCTCTTCTCATCCAACTCTTGGCAGGAAAGCAAACAAGTGTGTATGCCAAAATGTCAAACTCTTTCTATAAAAATTACAGCTTTGGTCTCAGTCGTGTCTCTGAACCTGCTCTTGGAATTGACGCAACTAAACTCAATAAAGGTGACTAATATAGCCCTGCATCTCATCCTTCCATTAGGAGCCAATCATGCCCACCTTAGTGTAAGTGCGGTTGTTTTGGAGGCAGTCTTGCAGCACACCCTCGTACTTCTTCATCAGGTTGTCCCAGCCTTGGTCGGAGGCAGGTGTGGCGCTCTCGTAGCCGGAAGTGACAGAAGAGGCGGAGGCAGTGTCTGAGTCCACGGACAGTGAGGAGGTGATCTCTATGTCCAGAGATTGGGAGTCACAGTCAGGCAGGTCGGACGTAACCTCCCTGCCACCCCACAGACATTCCTGCCAAAACCTCCCACCTAATGACAGCTCCTCTCTCTCTCCCTGGCTGCCTGGGGTGGAGGAGGGCAGGGACTGGACAGGAGTTGACTCCTTTGAGACATTGTGTTCAATGGATAAAGTCACTGGTATTGTTTTAGGCAACCTAGGTGCTTTAGTTGACCAATTTAGTGGTTCCTGTTCCCGGGGTGGTGTAGCAGGGATTGTGTCTGTCCTCTGGCTGGAGCTGAGGGACTGTTGGATGAAACTGAAGCTGGAGTTAAAGGAGTCCTGGGGTGAGGACTGGAGGGCCGGGCTTGGGCTTAAGATGAGTTCATTCATACTCTTGTGGCTACCATTAATGGGACTGCAGTCCACAGGGTGAAGAGGACGGGTAACAGAGCAGAGAAAACTCTTACTCTTCCAGGAGCTACATGTGACTTTTTCAGGCTGTTGCTGATTCATTAGGGAGACTTTGACAGCAGTTGGTAGACTCATCCCCTGAGCACTGGTCGCCTCTGTGATGTCAGTGTGACGTCCAGAATTTCCATTCCTTATGCAAGTGGTCCTCCCTTCCTCCTCTTCGTCCTCTTCTCCATGAGTAGTACTCTGCAATCTGGACTGCTCTCCTCTCATGTACCCTGGTCTTCGGTGCAGCCTCTTGCGACTGGAGCTGCCAGCTGTCCCTGATGCTCTGCCACCTGTCGATGCAGAGATTAACCATTAAGCTGGACAACACGGTCATTAGGGAGATAAAGAGTGAGCTCATAGAACTGGCAGGATTAACTGTGCAATCATGGGGTACATCAGGAAAATGTGAGGCTAACTGTGCCAATTACACAGGAATGTTAAACACCATATTGTTGATACAGTGAAAGTGATATAACTAAAATGATCCTCAGTCAGTCCCAGCCCTCTGCCCTTAAAGCTAGCACCGCTAACTGAATGAAAAACAACTCGGCCAGCTGTGTGACTTTTCCCAGAGTTCTGCTCCAGCTGTTGGGAAATACCAAAGCCACACAGTCATTTTGAGTTAAGACACGCCTCTCAGTGGAAGAGTGGAATACATGAACAGTATTTCCTGAAGTGGAATTGGTTTCTTTGAGAACTCAGCCACGTTAGCCCTAAACCAGGGGTTCTCAAACTGTGGGGCGGGACATGCTGGAGGCGTACAGGCATTGCAGGGGTGGAATGCAAGTAAAGCTGAATGAATCTGATTTATGTTGAACAAAAACAAAACAGTTCTGATGCCACCAAGGCTGTTAAGATTTAAATTCAAAAGATTTATTTAGACAGACAAATTACCAGCTCTAATTGTGCAAGGTTCCTAGAGCTCGTTTTATACAGGTTTTTGCCACTTGGGGCAGGGAAACAAGCATTTAACACACTGACACACTGATATCGTAATGTATCAAGTTGAAATGGCTAACATGTTCGCAAACAGTTGTCTACACAGCCAGCAGATATGGAGTGACATTAGCACTCATTTGAAGTTGTGTTTGTGTCCACTTGATGGATGTACTTCCACTATTCACTAGCACTGGTCTCATTTCCACCAACTCTTGAAGGAAACATCTGGCTCTTCAGCTGCCAAATACTTCAGCTAGTTGCTAACTTTGTCTGTTGTTTAGTGCTGAGCAGGTAGCATACGGGGGGGTTTATGTGAGCTTTTTTTCTAAAAACAGCTGCCTGAGGGGAACTATACAGAGGCTAGTGATAATTCTCCTAATTTATGACTATTCGCGACTCCTTTCACATATTTAGATGTAGTTATTGGAGTCATTGTTAATTAATTTGATACATAGTATTGATTAGTGCAGCTTTATTAAATACAAGATGGACAGATTTGTGAAGGGGAGGAAAGGAAAGCCTAATCAAGCTAATAGTAATCAAACAATTAAGTCTAACTTGCAGGCAGAAACTCACATAAAAGGTGTGAAAAAAAAAACATGCTGGTCATATTCTTAATAATATTTCTAATTTCTCTAATATTGTTACTGGATTAATAAGATTTAAAAGGCTTATATAGGGATTGGGGATAGAAATTATCTGAGAAGCACTGAAGACAGACATGGCCGACCCAAGCAACAAGAAGTGTAAACAGTATTTGGTTTGAAAGTGGAGCAGGATGATAAAGACGGGTTTGTGTTCAGAGCTGGACACCTGCTGCAGCTTCATGTGATTAATACTTATAATGTGTAGGATTCAGACAGCGAGACAGGCATAAATGCTAGGAATCAACAGCCCCTTTGTGTACAGCTGCGCTGCTCTCCCCTTCACTTCTGGCTCTCAATTTTCTCTTCCCACTCTCTCTCTCTCTCTCTCACACACACACACACACACAACACACACACTCTTTTGTACTGAAAACAGTGAGAGCATTCATACTACTGTTACAAATCCTTGTTAAACTTCTTTTTAAAAACACAAGCAGTTTTAGACTGTCATTAGCACAATCTAACACATCTGCACATACAATAGTAAGGACATTATATTACTATTAATTTTATCATCTGTACAATGGCAGCACAGTTGTGCAAATTCTGTGTCTGTAGCTGTATTTCAAAACAGGAATGCAGGGCATCAAACAAAGCATGACCACTACAAAGCCACCCCAGCTCCCTGTTCAACCCCCCATGACCTCCAGTGATGTCACTCATCAGCCATCCCATGTGACTGGAGAGGAAGAGACACAAAAAGACACCACTTAAGGGAGAGTTGGGTTGTTAGACTGATGGGAAGGCAGGATTTGAAGTGACAGTCACACAGGGCTGTTGCCTTTGTACCCAGGTGGTCATGTATGTGTAGAGCAGAGGACGGTCTTCATTAAGAGTCTTCTGTCCACTGGGATCGCCGCACTAAAGCTCAGGTTACATACAGCTCCATTAGTGTTTCTTTGCAGTCATGGCCACTGTTCTATAACCAATTTAAGAAACCCAACACTCCCAGTAGGCACCAAATACAACCGCACACCATCCACCGTCTGGTGTGGTCTAGATATAATATAATGCCCACTCCAGAGAGTCAAAGAGCATAGGAGTTGAAAGGAGAAGGACTTGTTGATAGAAAGTGTTACAGTATCCTCTCATGCTTCGATTACACAAAGCTGGCTCTTCTCAGTAAAGGGGAAGGAAATGCCTCGGGTCTCATTGTGCTTGTCTGCGTGTGATGGGGGGAATCTACATTTCGGTTGAAGCCCTTCAGAGGTATGCCATTTGCTGCTTCCTGCCAGGCTTTTTGCGTTAAAATTGTTTGCCAGGAATTCCGGCAGAAACAGTAAATAAGCAAAAGGAGACCTAAAATGGTTCAACAGGACCAAATGATCCCCATAGCAACAATAGCAGCTGTCTCATTGCAACTTGTTGCTAATATTAAAGATATTCTGCACAAAGTCTGAGAAACGAAGCATCTCAGCCAGAAGAGGCAAGATTATTTACCTTTGGCGATTAAAGAGGCCCTCCTCAGAGCCCTTGGGTTAAACACTGCATCCCATTGGTTGCTGAAAGTGATTCGGCCAAAGAGCAGAGGAATGCAGAGGATCTCATAAAAACACAAACGTTAGAGGGACGAACTCGGGACCCACGGACACACACACACACACACACACACACCCCAGCAGATCTGCATGTCAGCAGCCTCCTGAGAAGAAGCACTGCTCGGCAGCTGTGCAACTCCTCACCACTTGTGACTGACCACAGCAACAGAAATAGGGAAGTGAAAGCCAGCAATGAGTCATGAAAAGTGTTTATTTTTCCTTTAGGCTTCCTTTAACTATGACAAATGGTGACTTAGAAGTGAATCTACCTATCTACCTTTCTGGAAAAGGCAATAATGTCTGACAGAAAACTAAACCATAATGCATGATAATCCAGAATTGAAGCTCGGCCCTGGTGAGTGACATTTTGACGTAGATGTCCATTATACTGAATAACTAGTTGTCACTTCAGATGCCCTTCTCACTACTGTCCTGATGCATCCTGTAACTTGAGAGTTTTGATAATTCACTATATGGATTAATTAGATTTATTTAAAATGTCAACAATGTGTTAGAGTTTTTAATGATGTGAGGAGTTAAGAAGGGCTGCAAACTAAGGATTATTTTCATTGTTGATTAATCTCTCGATTATTTTCTGTTGTTGTTTGGTCTATAAAATGGCAGAAAATGGTGAAAAATGTGGATCAGTGTTTCCCAAAGCTCAAGACGACTTCTTCAAATGTCTTCTTTCGTCCACAAACTAAAAGACATTCAGTTTACTGTCATAGAGATGGAAATAAACCAGAAAATAACCAGCCGAAATCAGAGAATTTTTATTTTTTCCAAAAAATAAATACTCCAATTAACGATTGACTGGATGATGGATTAATAGATCATCAAAATAGTTAGAAATTAATTTAAAAGTTGACAACTAATCGATTAATCTTATAGCTCTAGAGTTGAGCTAAAACAACAATATGTTTCAGGCTGGTCATTTCTTTCAGATACTGAATCAGTTGCCACATGTTTACATTGGGAGTAGGGTAGCTGAAACACTGGTTACTCGTTTGATAAGAAAATTTGTTCCACAGTGCCACATCTCTTACTTTGCAAAGTTTTAAACAAAAATAATATAAAGAATCAAACATGCTAAGGTAGAAACCTGATTATAGAGAGTTTCAGTTTGCAATACAAGACAATAAATCCTATCAGAAACAAAACTATGCCACAGAAAAGTCTGTATGCAAAGTATGCAAGTAAGTTATTAAAGAAAGATAAGGGGGTGCCATCATGCGTCTCCACACTGTCTAGATATTAAGAGGGAATCTTCCACAAGTATTCAAATCATGTGCAACTCATCACCTACTGGTTATCACCGCTCATGGTAGGGAGTCTTTGACCTCTATGACCTGAGTGATGCAGAGACACTTCATTTATCAGACCCAGCAGTGAGTGAATGTCAGTGTGTGGAGAACCAGCTGAAACACACAGATCATCCTCTTCCTTCAGTCAGACACTGATTATTTAGTGACACTAAGCATCACAGTTCAAAAACAGCATGTTGACTTGCAGGTCTTGAGTGTCCTGAGTTGGACCAGAAGTGTTTACAGTAGTAATGAACGCAAGATTCAGACCCACTGCACACTGTCTCTGTAAGGACTGCTGCTGTTTGTTCTTTCTTCAGTTTATTCTCATCACCAGTCACTTACCCCTTACTTTCTTTCTTTCCTAATTGCTATATGAGTAGCCTTTATTATTTTAAAGTAATGTAATGCTCTTAATTCAAAACAGCCTTCCTGGTCCCTTCTGTAGAAGATTGTTTGGTTAATGTGAGAAACAGCAGTTCGTAGTTGAAAGAAGAAAAGATGTAGGCTGTATGTTTACCTTCCGCGACTTCGCAGCGGTGAAGCAGAGAGTTACTGTGACATTCCAGCCCCATCAGTCCAGCAAACATCTTTCCACTAACAGCAAGCTGTTCGTGTCCAGAAGTCAAACAGTGTCAGATCCCGGTACTTTATGGAGTTAACGTTACATCGACCATGTTTTAGAAGGAGCGGAGCCAGGCAGTGGGACTGATCTCATTTCCGTTGTGGAAAAGTGAACCAGACTATGTTATTCCCCACCCCGCTTTGAAATAACTTGTGAAACCGGCTTTTTACACGCGCTCCTTTGTCCACATCAAACATTTCCCGACTCAAGTACTGACGGTTGTACTCCAGAGTCCTACGTTTCTCCTCTGTGGCAAACAGATGGCTCCAGTTGCGCACGAACCGACGGTCTGGAGAGAAAAGATTGTCTTCATGTCATGTTTCTTATGGGGGGTGATTGGGAAAAAAACACCCAGTGATGAGCTGTGATGGCAGACGTAACTGAAAAGATAAATCTGCGTCTCATCGATGAGTTGATCAGTAATCCGTTAGCTGCGCCCATGCGTCGCGCGCGTCTCGTTGCAGCAACGCGAGGAGCTCATACGTGTTCAGATATTTGACTCCAGACTCCTTCTGCCCGCCTCACAGCCGCAGCAGGCAGCCTATGAATGCTCAACATCAAAAAACTAAAAGTCACATAAACTATACGCACACATTTTGAGAGCCATGGCCATTATCATTATCATTATTATTATTATTATTATTATTATTATTATTTATGCCTATTATTATTGTTGTTGTTGTGTTTTAACTTCTAGGGATTTTACATTTAAATCAAATGACTGCTGGCTAAAAGAAATTGTAGTACTACTTTATATAAACTATCCCATTGATGATGTTTTATGTTATTTTGTTTTGCAAAAAGAGTCATGTTTCAGTAAAATGACTCTTTATTGTTCAACACATATTCTGACCCACATGTCACTAAACAGACCATCCAAGTGTATTTTGGCCGTTAAATATACTAGGTCAAGTAATTGTTTGTGTGCAAAAATGCATGTTATTTTAGAATGTATGTTATTAGTGTTCCTTTGTTCATGCAGTGAGGGAATGCTTGAGAAGGGACCCCACAGCGAGTCTTTTCATCCTCCTTCCCACACACCCAAATGGTCTTTTCATTCAGCTCCCTGGCTGATAGACAAGACTCAGTGATGGAGAGCTCACAACAACAGAGCACAGCCTTTACCTTAGTTAGGCTACACTATGGAGGGTAAGAGAACTGTGTGGCAGAGAGGATGAACTCCATCGCCACGCATGTACTGAAGAATCAGATCACCTGTCCAGTATTAAAGATTAGAGGTAGCCTACTTAATGTCACCTAACTGAATGTCTCATGATGAGAGAGTCTTTCCTCGGGCAAATAATAATTAACAATGGTGGCTTTAACAAAGTACTTGTTAAATTACATTTACTTTTCTATACTTGCTTTTTATCTGTGCAACTTCCATTCCCTGATGCACACGAGAGGCAAAAATGGTATTTTGCAACAATTAGTGTGATGACAAAAATGGTGAGGCTTTAATGTAATTTTTACACTTCTCACATTTACTAAAACATTAATGTATTAATACATTAATTGCCGTGCTTTTTGGGTTTTAGTGGCATTATTTTCCTGTTTAGACTCTTCCTAGTGTGTGTGTTAGTGTTCACTCCCTGCATCTGTGTTCTCTTTTAGGTTCTGTTGCCATGCTCCTACTTCATGTTCTCTGTTGTATTTTGTTATACTCGTCTTTGTGTATTGTCACTAGCTTTACTTCCTCTTGTATTTTGTAATCATTGGTGTTTGGTGTTTTTGTCTAGCTTTATTTCCTTTCTGTCTTGATTCCTAATGTGTCTCACCTGTGACTAATTGTCACTTGTCAGTGCATTTTGGGTCCACACCTCTGCTTCCTGCTACTTCACTCAGTCATCCCTTTGACACAGTCTTCTAAGGCAAATTCAGAAATACTTTGATCCCTGAAGGTAAATTCTAGTTACAGTTGCACACATTGCACATCAAGTCATAAGGAATTGAAATAATAATTGAAAGAAGGTAGATAAAAACTTTCAGCATATACCTTTGGTTCGGCCCACTCTGCCGCTGTCTGTTGTCGACATTTTGACTTTCATAGTAGGAGATGCACAGGTGTCACTAATACTAATAACGGTTCAATTCAGTTTAGGTGTCAAAGACAAAACACCTAAATGTAATGCAGCCCCCTGTTCGTGTTGTTCACTATTGTATGCTCTAATGAAAAAGTTAAAATATTGGAGTATGCTCTGAGAGAATAGGTGTCTGGTTGTATTCCTCATCTGTTTTAATAGGTCCATGGCTGTGTTTTCTAGAGAGCATACCTGTTTTCACCAGTAGATGTCAGGCTTCACATTGAGGTTCAGTTCAACTGCCACACACTGCTTTTTTGTAGTTTTAGGAAGGTCACAGCGGTTTTTTATTTTATTTGTGCAAATCGTCATGTTAACTCAATGCTTTTCATTATTTCTGCTTGTATGTAAATTTTGTGCATTTGCTGCAAATATCTAAACATTTTAATAAGCTGTTTCTATTGTTTGTTACATGTCAATTTTCCACAGCCTGGGGTTGCAGATCTGTCACTGATGCCTACAACGCAGTAGGTCAACCAGTGTCCTGCGTCTCTCTCCAATAAAATTCAACAACCCATTAAAAGGCTGACAAACAGTAGGTTATAATCATAATTCTTGTGTTTCATTAACTTAGATCTTATTTCTCTAAAATGTTGTGTTTTCAGTATGGCAAAGCATTCGCTCTCAGCCCTGAAGACCGGATTCAGGTTGTCCATGTGTAGCGCTGACATTGGCCACAAGGTGGCAGACTTAAATTACATTCAAACCTCTTCTTTCACAATCTGTATAAAAAAAAATAAAAAAAAACCCACCAAAAGGAACGAGATCACTGATGACCTTATTTGTGGCTAAAAACAAAACTTCTCACATGTTTATACATAAAGCTGAATTAATCAGAGATTTCATCCTAAAGCCGGATGACATTCTCAGAGGCCGTGAAGCACACAAGCTGCTGTCCAGGATATAGAAACAGAGGCAGTCTTTGTATTGGGTTGGAATAATCAGACTAATAAGAAACACTTTTCTCATAAGTGAAATCTCACATCAAATCTTGTTCCCTCAAACACAAAAAAGAGCCTCTTTTACTGATTGTAGATTATGCAGACATTACTTTGTGGCCGTCCCTGAACACATCTCAATTGTTTCTGCCTCAAACATCCATGAGGATGGTAATAAATCTGCAGGAGGATATCCGGAATATTTGTCAGCGTGCTCCAAACCTTACTTTGGATTCATGTCGCTGCAGTGTGGTGAGGATTGTTGAGGAAAACGGTACAGTGAGAAGACAAGAGGTTTTGTGTGCGTGTGTGCACGCGCATGCCAGAGAACAGGCACGTACAATGTACAAAGGTCACATGTTCCTCCTCCACACAGTGTGCAGTGAGTGCAGGCAGCCAATGCTTCTACCTTTAGATTATCTGTGTGTGATAGAGAGAGGGGGGAGGGCGGAGAGAGAAAAATAAAATAAACACACACATTATGAAAGCAGCTTAAAGACCAGAGAGCATGGTATATTTGGCACAGAACTTTTATTCATGCAAAACAAGTGAAGTCATCAGATCTTTATCAAAGGGGGGGAAAAAAAACACTGTCTATTGTAAAACAGTTTTTATAACAACAAAATTAACAAGCATGTCACAAGACATATCAAACATCTGTCAAATCCCATTAAAAATACATACAATCATTCAACTGGTGTAAAACTAAAGCAGACAATGACACCATAGAGAACATAAACAATGTGGCTGAAGCCTGTGCAGGACTCAGACCACTCCTTCCTCGGGGTCGATGAGTGTGGTCCTACTGGAGAACACATCGGCCAGCATGTGTTTGGGGATTTCTGAGCCGCGGACACGCAGGGCATAGCAGGCGTCCTCCACTTTGCCCAGGCTCTGTCGCAGTGTGTGCAGCTTCTTGGACACCTCGTAGGGGCCCGTGTTCCCAATGTAGGAGAAACCGTCGTGGATCTGCCGCAGGAACTGGCTCAGCTGGAAGGGCGTGTCGATGTCGCCGTTGCCCACGCTGCTGATGCACATCCGCATCAGCTCTCCGGTCAGGTCGGCCACGCCTAGAAGGTAGTCTGAGGGCGTCACCTGGAAGGTCAGGACCTGAGCTCCCGGCTGCAGGGTGTCAACTGAGCCCTGAGGGGAAAACAGGGCGAGAATCACAAATGAATGTCAACAAAAGACTGAGATTAGGAACACTACTTTTGTGCACAAATATTCTTATCCCAGCAGCATTTACACAGAAGGTTGATGGTAACAACAATATCTACAAGATGTGATTGTTACGCTGTGTAGCTGTGCTACTGGTAGAAGGCCCGGGCTGTAAATGAGTCCAATTTCTCTCAAGCATAATGATGCTTTTACTGCAAAATATTGAGGTTCAAGTAATTTTGCTTGCCTCAACAGGCACCCGTCATCTTCGAAAACAACAGGCAGAGTGGATAAAATGACATAATGACACATAATGCTTATAAATGCAGTACATAGTAACATCCAGGGTTGCCTTTGTGTGCCATTATCACTGCTTTGAAAGGAAATAATGTACAAGGAAAATAGAACACACATCTTCTTGAAATAGTCAGTTTGGGGAATACGTTTATTCGCCATCTTGCAGAGTCAGATGAGAAAACCGTCACCATTCTCAAGTCTGTGCGCTTAATATGATGCTAAGGATTTTACCTTGGGACAAAGACAGGCTTAATGCTAAGCTAGGTGCCTGCTGGCTCTAGCTTCATATTTATCATACAGACAGAGTTTTATCGATCAAACTCGAAGTGAACAAGTGTATTTTCTATTGTATTTCTTTAAATCTTGTTAAATTTTAATGCAAACAATGCATGCAGCTTAACCACAAAGTCTTCTTTAAATTTACCTTAGGATCCACCTTCTCTGTTCTCATGAAAACCAGTCTGGCATTGATCTCCTCCAGGCTGATGAGGCTGCGATGACGGATATAGTGCAGGAAAGACACGGCCTCCACGTACTCCTGGATCCCTAATGCATGAAATCACATTGAAATGGATCACCACAAGACACTGGGAAGCACAACCATATATTCAACTGGCCCAACTGTTGAATCTAAGTGGGATTAGGGTCTGGTGGGTGCCTTTATTTTCTTCATTTATTAATTTTATTTTAAAAAAAACTTACAAAAAAGAAGGTCAACCACATATCAAATGAGCCCAGCACGTAGTGTATGTGTGTGTAAACACTACATGGTATCTGCACAGCGCAGATCACAGATGTAGATAAGGATTCAAATAAAAACCTGCTTCCTGTCGTTGTCTTTTGATTGAACAACAGTGGCCATTTTTTTGTGATAGGCTGAGATGACCCCCCATTTGTTTCCCCCGTGTAAACAACAATCAAATAATCACAGGACGGAAGACTTTGTGTCTAAAGTTTACTTTTGGAGCTGGAATTGAACTTCAAAGAGCCTCCTATCTCCGCGTAGCGAAACACAGTGTGCTGCACAGAGCCGAGAGGAGAACGTGGTTCATTTTCACTTCACTCGGAGTAACTTTCATGGCTCTTAAGTCCAAATTACACCAGCATTTGCATTCAGAACAGCTTTATAATGCGTTTCCAAAATCACATGCAGAAGGAGTCATGGGTTCATATTCACAACACTTTTGACCATCTAACCGCAAACCTCTCTTGTATAGAGAGATGCCTCGTCCTTTTCATACATATTATTTATCTTTAACCTAGACTTAACATCAATGGTTTACATGATGTTATGAATTATGAATGATGAATTATTAAAAGGCCCTGAAAATATATTCTCTCAACTGGCTTCTTACTGTGAGTCCAAGAAAACACAAAGTTAGAACAGTTTGGTTATTTCAGATTCTGTAATTGCAATCCAACATTGTGTAGATGTGTTTACATTCTTACAAACTGTTACCGCAGCATCGCTGTACTATTTGTATTATTATTATTCTATTATTTTTATCTATCTCACAGTCAAAAGTGCTCATCAACCAGCGCGGTATGCAATGTTTGGTTCTATGTACAAGCAGTTAGGGAAGCATAGAGTTGTAAAGCCAAAAGATGATTCTTATGATAATCCAGCAAAACTAAAATTCTTCATTGGTCATTTCAGGTTCTGTTCAAATTTAGATGACCTGTCTATAACTTACTGTTTTGTGTAAATGAAAGGTCTAATGGACATCATTTGTATGCATTTGTTTTTTTAGTTTTCGCTGCTCATAATGATGCCAGAGGAATAAAGTGATTGCGCTTGTTAAAGACTGCACGTACCTCTCTGCAACTAATCAGGATGTTGCAATATTTGAATCAAAGCCTGATGGCAGTTGTATGCTTGTGTTGCCAGGCCACTGACTGAGTTTTTAACTGTTAAATTATTGTTTTCATAACTTTGTGAGAAATAAACTTTAGGCTGCAGATTCTTAGGACTCATTATATTTAACTGGGAAATAAGTCTTTGATTGTGGGTCAACAGTGATTACTAATGAAAGGGTCCTGGTCTACAATAAACGTCAAGCGTGTAGGTGAGATTTTAACACAGACCACTGGATGAGACAATGGGGGTAGGGGGAGATCTTTGTGCTATATACATTTGCATTTCCTTTTGTCAGCTCAGGAAGAGCCATTGAGTGTATGCTCCAGATGTGATTTGCCATTTGTTTTGCAGTTTACCATTTGCTGTTGTGTCTTTGAGTGTATTTAAGGAGAGCATGTATCTTTCTCTCCGTGGCCACATATAAAGAATTGATTCATTACATCTCTGACTTTAAGAATGATTTTTGCTTATTTAGTCATTAATATATTTAATGTTATGGAAAAACACTTACATTGTCAGGGTAAATAAATGAACTGCTTATTAGAGGGACCATATCCTATTTTTATGTACTAAGTACTAGTATTTATATATTTTAGGTCCAACCTTTATTTTGCAAATGCAATGCATAACCTTTATCAAAAAAAACACTGCAAACATCTAAACATTGCCGGTGGTCCCACAGCTGTGACACTGGGCTTAGAGAGGATATAACACAATCTGAGGCGGACAGGATACGACATGAAAAGGTTACACAGGCTTTGAGGCAGGCAGGCGGAGTTCAGTTCCTGAGTTTGTGACCAGGAGCTGTTCATGTTATTTACTCTGAAGCAGCAGTTACCTTGGGTCACTCCGACTTTGATTTTGTTTTTGTTCATGTTGATGATGTCTAAACAATGACTCAAGGAAAACGACTGGAATCTAGAGAGATTTTACCGGCACATCATTTGGAAAAGTTGAGGGCTGGGTGTAGGGCTGACTGGATCAGTAGCTTCAATAGTTTTGATCAAAATTCAATAAATGTGTATGAATGGCCACAGATGATGTAAAGATTAATGACCACAGATCACTCAGCTGCAGGTGAACCCTGGGAAATGGGCTGGGTCAAGCTAAAGAGCTTATCAAAGAGCTGCTTTGTCCTGTTATCAGTGGCAATTACGTTCACATGTAGCCCACAATATCTTTAATGGTCCTTCTATATGACAAAAAAAACAAACAAAAAAAACCCAGACCCATTACACATGCCTGGAGACTTCTTGTCCAGCCAAGATTATCTGGAGAGCTCGTGCAGCGAGCCCAGTCTCAATCTAATAAAGCCGATATAAAAGGGGGGGAACATGAAGCGTCTAATTGGTGGGAACTGCCACTGGTCACGTCGCGGAGGATGCAGTGATTCCTGAGTGACCACAATCTAAAAACGACTTCCCCAGCTGCTAGATAACAGCTCACCCCCGCTCTCAGTAATGTTTTTTTTCCTCCAACCTCTGCAGACATTTTGGCTACCCTAACGAAAACTGATATTGATGCTAGTGGGAATACAACTTTTATCAAAGGGTGTGTCTATCATATCCTAGCCTAGATCAAGGTTCACGCTCTCACACTATCAGGGACGCATTTCTCGTGAAAGTTCCGGTTTAATTAACTTTGTGACTCACTAAATCTCAAAAATGATTTTGAAAGACATTACCATTTAAAACCCATTCCTACATCAACAAATGTTGTAAAAATACACTAAATGGGGACTATCTAAGTGTCTGTAAATAAACAATAACTGTCAACAGCATATCTAGTTGCTTATACACTCATCAGCCACTTTATTAGGTACACCTGCTCAATTGCTCGTTAACGCAAATAGCTAATCAGCCAATGGCAGCAACTCAATGCATTTAAGCATGTAGGCGTGGGTCAAGACAACTTGCTGAAGTTCAAACTCAGCATGGGGAAGAAAGGGAATTTAAGTGACTTTGAACGAGGCATGGTTGTTGGTGCCAGACGGGCTGGTCTGAGAATTTCAGAAACTGCTGATCTACTGGGATTTTCACACATTCGCACAACTCTCACAGCTCTAGGGTTTCCAGAGAATGGTCCAAAAAAGAGAAAATATCCAGTGAGCAGCAGTTGTGTGGACAAAAATGCCTTGTTGATGTCAGAGGTCAGAGGACAATGCGCAGACTGGTTCAAGATGACAGAAAGGCAACAGTAACTCATAACCACTCATACAAGGTATGAAGAATACCATCTCTGAACGCACAACACGTCAAACCTTGAAGCAGGTGGGCTTCAGCAGCAGAAGACCACATCAGGTGCCACTCCAGTCAGCCGAGAACAGGAGATTGAGGCTTCAATTCGTGCTCACCAACATTGGACAATAGAAGACTGAAAAAAACATTGCCTGATCTGATGAGTCTTCATTTCCACTGCGACATTCAGATGGTAGGTCAGAATTTGGTGTAAACAACATGAAAGCATGGATCCATCCTGCTTTGTATCAACAGTTCAGCCTGGTAGTGGTGGTGTAATGGTATGGAGAATATTTTCTTGGCACACTCTGGGCCCCTAAGTAGCAACTGAGCATCATTTAAACGTGACAGTCTACCCGAGTATTGTTGCTGACCATGTCCATCCCTTTATGACCACAGTGTTCCCATCTTCTGATGGCTACTTCCCGCAAGATAATGCATTATGTCACAAAGCTCAAATCACTTCAAACTGGTTTCTTGAACATGACAATGAGGTCACTGTACTCCAATAGCCTCCACAGTCACCAGATCTCAATCCAATAGAGCACCTTTGGCATGTGGCATCATAGATGTGCAGCCGACAAATCTGCAGCAACTGCGTGATGCTATCATGTAAATATGGGCCAAAGTCTCTGAGGAATGTTTCCAACACCTTGTTGAAAGTATGCCACGAAAAATGAAGTCAGTTCTGAAGGCAAAAGAGGGTGGCCCGTGAGTGTTTATTGTAGGTTCATTAATTAGACGCTACAATAAACACTCTGTCTTATTATGATAACATTTTTGGCCATATTGCCAAGGCCTATGTTTCAGCCACTGCAGCCGGTTCACAGCTTCCCGCTGAAGCTGTCTACTGCACAGATTCCAAAGCTTTTGGTACCTACCAGTCATTTCGACTCCAAAATGTGTGAAAATAGGGCCCAGGTTTAAAAATGCCACGATTATTTTGTAAATACACTGTATGTGTATCCCAAAATTACCCTTTTAAAGGGCTTGTTTGCTGTCTTGAACCAAAAAGGTCTACGGAAACTCACCTGGCGTGAAAGCTCTGTGAAACTGATAGATGTCCTCTCCTCTGAGCTCCTCAGCGATGTGCCCGATTTTCTGCCTGACTCCATCCAGTTTCCCTTCTGCTTCTTTAAGAATTTCCTCTGCATCTGGTACACTTAAAGAAAACACAGAGAATAATAAGTTAGAGAAATGTTGTTGTTTGAGAAATGTTCTCAAACAACTGTGTCCTGAAACAAAAGTGGAACATTTTGGAGTTGGTTTATTCACTGAATTCACTTTTTCTTCAGAGTATTCATCCTTCAACAGAAGGCTGATGATCATGACCCAAATATGAAACATCTATTGATATTTTAATGTTATTTTACAATGATGCTTATGTCAACATTTAAGTGGAACTACGGCAAATGTTACAGCTTTCCCATAAGCCCCATGAAAACAGATCTGTTTCCATAAAAATAGAACAATTTAAACAAAAGCCGCTGTAACAACGTGTAAATCATCAAATGAGCAACATTCCTCCAATTTCCAATATATTTTTTCAAAGTGAAAAACTTTGTTCCAAATTAAACTGCACCAACATGTCTTTCTATAATAGTACCTACCTGGTGACTCTATGTAAAAGAAAAATTGTCCTCTTGCTTTCGATGGTGACGTCTCGACTGACCTTAACAAGACGCTCATATTTGTCGTGTTTGGTGTCAAGCTCCTGCTGGAAAACTTAAAAGACAGATAACAAAGGTTAGTTTTGAGCACAGGTGTCTTAACACTAATGAAATCCATTTGGGTAAAAAATGCAATCCATATACTGAGGATGCAGTTACCTTTGAAAGCAGCAATGACAGGTGAGGATTGGTGGGCACTCGCATCACAATCCTGCACTGCATCAGCAGTTTTCCTGGGACATCCTTCACCTGACACGAGGCAGAAAAAGTCTGGTGATACTACAGTTTGTGATCAATAATAAATGCCTCTAGATGCTGTCATTTTCTCTAAACTGACCAAGTCAAATTAAAGAGGACATGAAGATCAGTTTAGTCGTTTACCCTCAAACGGTAGATATAGAGCTTGAAAGACTTGTAGGATTTGGTATTTGTTTTGGGTTTGACCCATTTTAGAGACTAAAAATCAGGATACCAGGAACTCCACAAACTTAATCACTGGAGAACCTCTTTAGGGTGTGAACTAGAGCTGAAACCATTGGGCAATCTACAAAAATTAATCTATAACTATTTTGATAATCAATGAATTGTTTAAGTCAGTTTTTTTTTTTAAATTGCCAATAAGAAAACAGTGGTCCAAGCTGCTATTTTCTTACTTTTGGACTGCCGGTCAGATAAATCAAGCTATACGATGACATAACCTTTGGCTTTGGGAAATGGTGAGGGACATTTTCTTTTACTATTTTCACATGTTATAGACTAAATTAATAAATGAATCGAGAAAATGTGCTAATTGATCAATAATGAATATACTTGATAGCTGCAGCCCTAGTGAGAGCTATATTTAGAAGAGAACTGGATAAGAGTTAAGGCTGTCTTTGGTAGGATTACCATTTCTACTAACGTTACTGAAGAAATGAATAAGCTGGAGCTGCAGTATGATCTTGGCAAACAGCGCTGTATAGCCAACTGACAGTTTAAACGTCAATATAGGAATCATTTCACCACATTTTAACTGAGATCAAACTACATGTTTGTGTTTATCTTTACTGTCGCTAACTAACTTAGTTATCCCATGCTGATAACAACTAACAATGCAACTTGCATTAAAACGTTATTATTGTTAGTTGAAAGCTGGACTTACCTTCTCGCTTATTCATGCCTTCGGTGTTGCAAGTTGTTCTTTTAGTAAATGTAACTACTTTAACCTCCGTTGGGGTTATTTTTGAAGGCTAACTGTTTAACGTTACGGCCACTTCAGTCCGTGCTGCCAACCAAATGTAACGAGGCAGAGTAACTTGCTTTACATCTGTCAGGGATAACTGGGGTCACCAGACAAAACAGTTCCTTTTAACATAAAGGTTACCATCTCTGACCAATAATAAACAGAGTGAATGAAGTCTGAACGTCTTACAATGCCAAATAAATCGTGTTTGCTTGTTTTTAATAACAGGCATTCACGTGGTCCTCATTCATCTCGGGGCTTTTGCGCTATTTACACGCGTAGCAGGAAATGAAGAGACGTGCATCATGGGAGATGTAGTAACATTGCAGAAGGTGGCATTCTATGTTGTTACAGCATTTCCCCAACTTAGTCAATTAAAGTACATTTATTTGATTGTTTTGTTTTAAAATAATTTTAAAAATGTAACAAATAATTTAAGCTAAGGTACAAATTAAACAATTAATTGTTTATTATAAGACGTGGATGTCGTCCTGTAATATAACCAACACCATGTTTTTACATATTGTTGATTTTTATTATGAAGCATTCAGTGTCACGCATGGTTGATGTGGCAGATTCTGTATCTATCTAATTATATATATCTAGGGTAATATATCAATCAATGGGGAGTGGCACAGGCCCGCCCTTGCGGCTAAACACTTTCTATTTTCAGTCTAAACGCAGATTAAGCAACCAGTCGTGTCCAGACTGCCATCCTAAATAGGCCGGTGTCATTTGTTGCTATTAAAGTATGTTTCATTTCATCCAACCTTTCTTGATCAGATTACTCGCTTCTCTCCGGTAACCCCTCCTCCAGGGACTCCTGCAGACTGTGTACGTGCCACACGACTGGTGCTAACTTGAGCTTGCGCTTTGCCACTGCACAGCGCACTCCCAGTCATTTAAAAACCCGTTTCACTTATGAATGTGATGAGCGATACCCCCCATGACTGTATATAATGACATATTGATCTGAACTTAATTTTATGCTTCAAAAAAATCTAATAAAAATGTTTTACAATATGCATTCTGATACCCATGTAATGCCCCCCTGGAGCGCAGTCATGAGCTTCATAAACCGTCCACTAACAAACTAATGAGTATATCATAACATCTATAACATAACAAAATATTATTTTGTTGTGTGAAAGGAATTTCACACATGCAAGCCAGGAATGGGGGCAGTCTGTGGGCAAAACACACCGAAGTTGACGTTGACTGATGATGCCTTCGGCTGCTCCCTTCAAGCTCGTACATTCGAGTTTAACGTGTCCGCAGGTCATTTGTGCCTTTTGCAAGTAGAGCACTGATTATGTTTTGTGTTGGTATCGTAGTTGTCTGTTTGTTGATTTGTTTGTTGGTCTGAGGATTGCTGTATGGCACATTATGAATTCCCGAAAGGACTAACAAACATATCTATCTATTTCGACAACTACAACAATGTTCTTGAAATGATTTTCAAAAGATGTTGTATTTATAAATCAAACTTGTTGCAGCTAACAGCATAAAATTAAAAACTGTAATTGGCTGACTTTTCACATTCACAATTGTTGAGCTGCCTTTATTTTGCCAAGTATTAAAAACTTGTCTAAGGTGGCAAAGACAGAAAGAAAGGTTTGCTAAATCAATACTTTTATTTTATTTATTTTTTTATTTATTTTACAATTGAGCTAAGACACACACACATATATATATATATATATATATATATATATATATATATATATATATATATATATATATATATATATATATATATATATATATATATATATATATATATATATATATATATATATATATATATATATATATATATATATATATATATATATATATATATATATATATAAAGGCTGATGGGTGTCTATGGGATCAAATAACATAATCATGATCCTATAGGCTTCCAGGAATTGAGCAAAACTAAGCAAGTAGCCTAAACTAAGGGTGTGTGAGCAGGTGCCTTTTTTCCAAGCATTGTCTGTGGGGGGTCTCAATTAATGTGTTAATGTCTGAGTAGTATTGTGATGAGGTATCTAGTTGGTGGAGTTAATTTTATGTATTTTATACTGTTGGGTAATTTAATCTATAGCAATGATAAAGTATAAAGTAGCATAAAATGGAAATGCTCAAGAAAAGTACAAACACCTCAAAATTGTACTCAAGTATAATACTTGAGTAAATGCGCTTTCAACCACTGCCTATATGTCTGTGAATATGATTTATAGAGGATAATCAATGAGGCTGGGGCCGACGGGTCAAGTCAAGAGGACATTTATCACTTTTTTATTGATTGACCAGAGGCGGTCTGTAGCGTTCACGGGCAAGGACGTGCCCTGATGCGCGACATGACATCGAACTACCTCCACGTGTTTCGAGCCCCTTCATGAGCGGTCATCTGTCCAAAAGCCCTTGAAGGCAACGCGAGGGGGGGCGGCGCTTGTCTGTCAACGTCAGAGCAGGCTGGCCCACAGACAGGCTGAGCGCACACTGAGCGGCGCCATGCACTACGTTCGGACCGACAGCTAGCGAGCAGATATGCCTCCTGAAGATCTCCACCCAGCCATGTCTGCTCTGTCCAGGCCGCACATTGTCGCAATATTTCACTGATACAAGATGCGAAGAGGGAATACGTGGCCCAAAATGGCGGGGTTCTGACTCTTATTTTCAGTCTCGCTCGGTGTAGCGTGGCACAGGCAGTGGATCGTTTCCAAAGTTGTCGGTAGCAGTGCGCGTGTGAAGGATCGGACTTAAAGGCGCAGCGCACCCGGTTGCAGCCTAAAACATGGAGAATCAGCAGCAGCAGAGCGATTTGGAGCGAGATCGACAGTACTGTGAACTTTGTGGGAAAATGGAGAACCTCCTCAAGTGCGGTAGGTGCCGGAGCTCCTTCTACTGCAGCAAGGAGCACCAGAAACAGCACTGGAAGAAACACAAGCTCATTTGCAAGGAGGCGGACAAGGCGCAGCTTCCCAAACAGACGACCGAGCAGGCTGCGCCGTCTGGGGATGACAAGGCACCGGAGACAAGCCGAGAAAAGACGAGCCCTGATCAGGCGGACAGTGCGTCTTTACCGCAGACCACACAGACAGAAGCACCTGGGCCCGGGGACAGACCGGTAGAGCAGGGGTCCAACAACACCGCCACACCTAACGGACAAACCAGCTCGACCCCTCAGAAACTCGCCACGGAGTACATAGTCCCCTGTATGAACAAGCACGGCATCTGTGTGGTGGACAACTTTTTAGGAGCGGAGACTGGGCTAGGCATCTTGGAGAACGTCAAAGCCCTGCACAAAACTGGCAAGTTCACAGACGGACAGTTGGTCAGCCAAAAAAGCGATTCCACTAAAGACATCCGAGGGGACAAAATCACTTGGATAGAGGGGAGGGAGGCCGGCTGCGAGAAGATCCGCTTTCTAATGAGTCGCATGGACGACCTGATAAGACACTGTAACGGCAAACTGGGAAACTACACGATAAACGGAAGGACCAAAGTAAGTATTTCAGCAGGTGGAAACACACAACCAGCATTTGTCATGCCTGAAAGGCAGTGATTTGCAGTGCTCCGTTGTCCCTCAGGAGCCGCAGGTCTGCTGAATTACACCTGCCAACAACATTGTGGGTTAAAAAACACAGTAGTCCATACGAACCGATAAAAAGAAAGTTTTGCAGGAATCTGTCCCACTCAGCAAAAGTCACAGTAAGGCTGGTCAAACCTGGAGCTTTGAGACATATCCATTCTGTCATCAGGGCACCATTAGGTTCAATATCTCGGTGCTGTTTGCTAATTAGACCTGACTTTAAGTGTAAGACACTAGTGACCTCCTTCTGACTCCAGGTTAAAGCGTGGCTAATGCCCAGAGAATTTCCTCAACACAAAGCAGTTTATGCATTTTAAACAACAGGGCTTGCCAAAATGTATGCATGTAAAAGAAAAAAGAAAGAAATCATTTGCACAACAAATGCATCACAAGACACCAGAAGGTACACACAGGTGCAGCCAGTTGTAATAAAGCAAACGGATACTTGAACTAATGAGCAATAACGTGTGGCTTTGGTACATTATGTGTCTGCAGCAGCGTCACAGTAAAAGCAAAGTCCAGTGAAAGCAAGTCCTGAAGCAAGGAGGAGTCCCTTAATATTTGCTGTTAAGCGGCTGCAATTATGTGACACACACACACACACACACAGGTGTTTTATCTGGAATACATGAGTCTCTGCTTGATTTAAAAAAAAAAAAAAAAAGTAATTTTCTTCACAATATATTAGTGAATGCATATCTGGGTGTATTACTATTCTAATGCTATTCTAATCAGATTTAATTTTCAGGGTCTGCACTCAGTGTTCAGTTTATTATGGACGAATAAGCTGAAATGAATGCAGTTTTAATACAACAGTGCTGCAATACATCGTACCTTCATTACGGATATATGGTACGGTTTCAGTGAAACTGCTTTAGAGAGGGGTCGATTCAACTTTACACTAATTTTAGAGGCTTTAGTTTGAGAGGTGGTTCTAATATTTAGTCTGCCCTTGTTGCTAAAAAAAATAAAGTGTGTTGACAATATATTAACACCTCTCAGTATAGTGCAATGCAGTTAACCAGCAGCACAACGTAGAGCCTCCAAAATTACCGTAACGTTAAATTAACACCCCTCTGAAAGATTTTTTTTAACAAAACCTGAAATCGAAGACCTAAATTTTGATTTAAATGTGAGAGAATAGTGAACGATTAAGAGCACAGTTTCCTAAAGTAGATCCCAAGTACACATCACAGTTTTTGTCCAATCAACCACACAAAATAACAAAGATATTCACTCCACAATCACAGAAAAACAGTAACTGACTGAAATTATAATTCAGTTATCAAAACAAGCACATTAGCTTTGTTGATTGACTAATTGATTGATCAACTTATTGTTTCAGCTCCGTGGGGCTGTTGGATTAGAATGCATTGTTTTCAAGCGTGTGAGACTGTATTACACGCCGCACATGTTCTCTAGGTCATGCGGCCCTAATAGACACAGGCTGCTGCAAAACGCACACACCGAAATACGGACATCCTGCTCACACTTGTCAACAGTGTGCATGTATAGTTACATGACAAATTTATGCTCTCTTTCTTCTTATAGAAAAATAACAGGATGTGTGTGTGTGTGTGAAGGTGCTGCAGCCGCAAAGGCAGCATGGAGTCTTATAACTGTGCTGCTGAATCATCAGCAGGGACTGACTGCAGCCTC